ATTCATGCCCAGGGTACCTGATTGAGTTGAGTGGGTCATGGTCATTACTACTATCTACCTGATGTCTACAGTAAGTGGTACCACTACTAGAGTCTAACAGTCATCCAATCCGAAATCACTTATCTTCACGGAATCAAGCATACCCATACCCCCTCTTCGCCATCAAGCAAGGCATGCTTTTGTTGCCATGTTTGTGGCGTACTTAAGCATACCAGGTAGCCAATGCCTACAAATCAAGAATTGCCATTGTTAGTATTCCTCCGCCACTCAGTAGCGCCAGTTTTAGAAGAATCAGTCTATCTTGTACACGGTACTTTGTATTTAGTGGGGTTACTTGTGTAGAATATTGTTGTGTCTCCAGTAAGCTGCAGGTTCTCGAACATCCTTGCGCGTCTCAGCGGCAATCAATGTATCCGGAAAAGGAAGGGTTACGCACCCGTGACATCGCCTTCATTGCGCCCCCTTCCCCCAATACTACTGCCCTGCGTGCGCACGGAGTCGACTCTATCTGTTGGTATTACTAAGTAGTAGATTGACGATCTCATTCTCGACTCAATGCATCTAGGACTAGTACCTACTGTATGTACCTCCGTATGTATGTATGTAGTAACGTATGTATGTATGTCTCTGTTGGCAAATCTTCTGCAAATTGATACAGGACAATTCGATTATCGTGTTCTCATCCGCGAACAGCGCTGTTCATCCCACGGGCTCAGTCGATCTCAGAACCATTGGAACGAAGAGGCAGCCAACTCAACCCTGGTCAGGTAGATAGTGGTTTAGCAGGCCGAAGCCGTACCGATAAAGATTCAGGCCGTCAAGGGATAATTATCCACGAGAAAAGGCAGGCGAAGCGGAATTCCCACAGATAGTAAGCCGAAGCATCCGGAAAGTGACACCAGTCACGGCGGGTAATTTTGGCGGGTTCCAGACCCATGGGGTACAGCGCTAGGCCGTAACTGGCTGGGGGCGTGGAGTCGATTACAAGCTCGAGCTTGGAAACTAACGACTCTGGATTTCCTTATCCAGAACCGCATGGTCGATGGGTCGGTCATGCGAAAATCAGAGATTGTTCATGTGAGCAGCAAAAAAAAAAAATTAATAATAATAATAATATTGGATTTTTTTTTATTTTGGAGAATCGGTTGGAAAATGGATCAATCAAGTTGCTCTACTAGTCACCGACTCGACTTACGACATCCTGAAGTACTACTTCCCCCAACACGTCCACGATACTCCGTGTCCGGCCCTTCGTCCTATTTATCTCCAGCTCTCGCACTCGGATTCTGGCTCTCCTCATCGCTTTCTCTATACTTCTCATAGAACCTTCTTCTTCTCCTTCAAGCAATTGACCCTTCCCGGCTTGCTCTCCATCCTCCATACCAATCAGACTTTCCTCCTCTATCCTCTTCAATCCGCTTACCAAACCTTTATCCGAGATCTACAAGGTCATCCCCAAACACTTGAGGATATCCGCCAATCGACCGATCCCCCACCTGACAAGTGACCGTGAGTGCGACTGGCAAATGATAATCCCTTCTTTCCATGCCATTCTCCAGTTTTCTCGATGCACGAAAATCAGTGGACTGACAGCTGCCGCTCAAACAGGCGAATCCGATTTCTCCACTTTTTCCCCGCCTTATCCGGACTCTATTCCGAGCCTACACGCCATCCCCAGAAATTGCCATTATCTGCTTTGGTACGCTTGCTGCGAATGTTCCCGAAGCGTGTGAGAAGGGAAACTGACAAGCCAAGGTCATTCAAGAGAATAAAACCGAAGCTCTAGCGAGAAAGCGTATATAAAGAGTCGAAGCAGTCGCCTTTCTGGAAAGTCGACTAGCCACGATCTCAAGTGTTGAATTCATTGCGCTTGTACCCGTACTTCCTTGAACCCCACTTTCGAGCCGGATCGTGTTCCTACGCGCCCGCCAAACGTCATACACCACCAATTTCCCCAGTTTTTTGTTGCGATCAACCCTTTAGATCTCCCTCCATCATGCAAAGTATGTTCCACACACACACCTCTTTTCCAAAGAGCCTCTCTTTTACCTGTTTTTCCTATTATTCCTTTGCCCCATAATTTATGCCCCTCTGCGTCAGACCATGCAATCCCAGATCCGGTTTCCACAGCCGGCATGAAGTCAGATCTTCTCCACATATTTCACTGGATCAGACACTGTCCGATACATACGCTAACGCGGCCATCAGCCAAGCACTTCTTCTCGGACCCTACCCATCTGGTCCAGACCGCCCTGAACTCCCTGACTCTCACAAACCCTTCTCTTGCCTATGACCCTGAAAACAAAATCATTTTCCGTCGTCCGGATACGACGAAGTCCAAGGTCGCGATTGTCTCTGGAGGAGGCTCCGGCCATGAGCCCGCCTTTGCCGGCTATGTTGGCAAGGGCTTCCTAGATGCCTCGGCCGCCGGTACCATTTTCGCTTCTCCCTCCGCAGAGCAAATTCGCAAGGCTGTCATGGACTGCGTCGACAACGAGAAGGGTGTCCTCATCATCCCCATGAACTACACCGGCGATGTCCTCAACTTCGGTATGGCTACGGAGAAGGCCCGCGCCGCGGGTATCAAGACCGAATTCTTCGCCATCAACGACGATGTTGGTGTCGGTAAGAAGAAGGGCGGCAAGGTCGGCCGTCGCGGTATTAGTGGTGGTATCCTCGTCTTGAAGATCGTCAGCGCGCTGGCCGAAGCTGGGTAAGTTGAGCCCTTTCGAAGTGTGAGAAGCGTAAACTAAGACGACCGACTGCATCAGTGGATCTCTTGAGGATGTTTACCGCACCGCTCAGTTGGCAAACAAGAACCTCGTCTCAGTTGGCTCTTCCCTGGAGCATGTCCACGTCCCTGGCAGAGCCCCACCAACGGAGACCATCCCCGATGGTGAGGTCGAGGTCGGAATGGGCATCCACAATGAGCCAGGATCTCACCGGGAGAAGTTCGAGCTTACCGAACTGGTCGCGACCATGCTCCTTCAGCTCTTGGACCACAACGATCCCGACCGCGCCTGGATCACTCGCAGGCCCGATGATGAGTTTGTGCTGCTGATCAACAACTTGGGTGGTGTGAGCGCTCTCGAACTGTCGGGTATCACCGATGAGGTGTACCGTCAGTTGAACAGAGACTACAACGTTCGGCCCATTCGGGTGATCCAGGGTACCTTCCTCACCAGTCTGAACGGCCTGGGCTTCAGCATCTCCCTGATGAAGCTCGTGGACACTGGACTGGGCGAGGGCAAGTCCTTCCTTGAACTCCTTGATGCCCCCGCTGAGGCGGTTGGCTGGTCTGCTCCCATCCGTCCTGAGACCTGGGAGCACCGCTCTGATGCTCCTGTTGAGCTGAAGAGGACCAAGTTGCCCGAGGATCAGCCCAGCAACGTCAAGCGTCAGTACCCCTATCCGGTCGATTATCGCGGCCTGTCCTCTCTGGATTTAGCTAACATAAATCATAGTGGATGTTGATTCCCTCAAGAAGGTTCTGGGCAGTGCACTCAAGCGTGTCATTGCTGCTGAGCCCGAAGTCACCCGCTTCGACACCATCGTCGGTGACGGAGACTGCGGTGTGGGCTTGAAGCGTGGTGCCGAGGCCGTCCTTAAGCTCATCGAAGACCCCTCGTCCCCGCTCACCGACGACGTCGTGAACGCGGTGAACCGCATCGTCAGCATCGTCGAGAACGTCATGGACGGAACCTCCGGAGCCATCTACGCCATCTTCCTGAACGCCCTGGCTCACGGTCTCCGCGAGCAAGACCGAGGCACCACCACCCCCGCCACGGTGGATGTCTGGGCTGCTGCACTTTCCTACTCCCTCACCGCACTCTCCCGGTACACCCCCGCCCAGCCCGGTGACCGTACCCTCCTGGACGCCCTTGTCCCCTTCTGCACGCAGCTCCAAAAAGCCAAGGACGTGCACGTCGCCGCCAAAGCAGCACAGGAAGGCACCGACTCCACCAAGAACATGAAGGCCAGCTTGGGACGGTCCGTCTATGTTGGCGGCGAAGACGAATGGGTGGGCAAGATCCCCGACCCCGGTGCTTACGGACTCAGCGTCTTCCTCAACGGTCTGTCTGAGGCGTTGTAAGGAAGCTCTAGAGAGAAAAAAGTGTCACTTGCATTCTTTTCTTTTCTTCGGGCCCATGGTAAATATTTAATTTGCATCCGCTGATGAGGATATTATGGGATATTCCTTGGACTTTTTCTTATCTTAATATAATTTCATGATGATGAATATGATGATAAATTGGGCGCGTTCTTTTGCATGTCTACTTCTTTGTATTCACTGTTTAGTTTTCAGTATTGAATAGATAAGATCATGATTGGATTCATTTATCTCGTACTTTCATATGAATATGGCGATATCAGATCAAGTATGAAGGTAGTAATTTCATGCAATGGTCTGCCTTATTTTGAAGTTGATAATCGATTACGTGAATGCGATAATGGTGTACTCGTACATTGTTTTATAGTATTTTTGAGTATTAACAGTCAGAGTATACCCAACCAAGTCAGATACATTTCATAATCCTGGCTAGGACTATCTAGCTCTCTCTCGAGTAAGACCCGATTCATCAATGCTCCTCCTACTTTTATCAAGCCGAGATACTCCACTTCAGATTCCTTTTTCTAGCTTTAAAAAAACAAAAGAGTCCGGAGAACGCCAAGTCTGCCCCCGCCGTAAATCAGAGAGAAGAAACGGTGAAATTTGAGATCGGAAAAATAGCAATATATGAAACGAGAAGGAGAATAAGAGAGCCAAGGTCCGGAGAGGGCTGGATTAAATGGGCGGGGAGGCAGATTGTACGTGATGATGTAATCTAACATCCCGTCCAATTCCGCAAGTATCGCACGACTAAAAGGGTATCGTTCATTCGTCTGTGTCAACTAGAATTCGTCTCCGTCGGATTTCAGCTCGATCAGAGAGAGAAGCCAAGTCCGGACCGGCCCAGGACCGTTCGAGAAGGGAATTGAGCGCGTCACGTGAACTGTGTTCAGCTGAGCAGGACGAGAATGACGGAGTCACCACGGAGGAACCTGTGATAAAAGGTTGGGTTAGGATGGTTTCTGGTGGGGAGCAATGGTGATTGCTTACATCTTGCTGATGAAGCGGTCCTTGTTGACACCCTTGCCGTTACCACCCTTGGGCTTCTCGGTCCACATCTCCTTGACGTTCTCCAGGACCATGTTGCAGTGGCGGTCAAAGGCCTTGACACGGGCGAGGAGCTTGCGGTTGTTCCGGCAGGAGATCAGGACTTGGGTGTGTGTGCGCGTAGCGGTTTGGAGAAGAGACAAAGGACCGGCAGTGAGCTCATGTTCCTCAACGAGGGAAACCTCGTATTCACTGGATGAGGGGATAGGTTAGCGCATGGATGGCGATGATGGGTGGGTAGATAGATAGATAGATATGGTGTGGCGCGATGAGAATTAGGCGCGCGGGACACTATCCGGATATCGTGGGTGTGATGGGCATGGGTAGTTGGAATGATAGGTGTGCAAAGGATCGGGCATCATGTGATAGGAACACGGGAAAGGGAAGCTTTGATAAAAGCCGGAAAGAAGAGGAGGGGTTCGATAACGTACGTGAGCTCGCTCTTAGGCTTGTTGAGCAGGTCCCTATTGAATTGCAAGACAAGGTTAGCAATTAGGTCCGGCAGGTTGAGAAGCGGATTACACCATGACAAGAGCTAATGACTCATTGGGATGTAAAGGAGGGTAGGAAAAGAGGGGTAATTACTGGATCTTGGGATCGGTCGACATGGTGGGCGCGAGTATAAATATGAGGTGGGAGGTGCCGGTGCAGAGGAGGACAGCAAGGACAGACTTGAACTTGATCGGGGACGACTTGAGAGCATCTCAATCCGCAGCTTCTGTTCTGGAAGCCTGGCTTGGCGCGGGTGCTGTCACGTGCCACGCGTGTTTGCCGTGTTTGAGCGGCGGGAATAGCCGAGCGCGCGATTGGCTGGGCGTCACGTCGCGTCCGACACGCTCGGATGCGCTCTCGTCCAAGCTTCATCACTTCTTCAAATGCAAGGCGTCTGCGCTTTTTCTCTCCTTCCACCCTCACCTCTGTCCCTCCTCCTTCTTCCCTCTCCCCCCCAACTCCTCGGCCTGCGGTTAAAGGGAGCAACCTCCAGTGCCTCACGTTGGTTTAATTTCTCTCTCTTCCTTTTTCTCTTTTCAAAACCTCCTCCTCTCTCCCATGCCTCAGGTTTCTCACCGCACCCTCTCCTCCTTTCGTTGCTCCGTGTCCCGCGTTGGCATTCCACAGGCTCTTTCCCCGCGACCTCCGTTGCATAATACATCCACGCCTCGGCATTCCCCTGGCTGACACTCCCGCCAATTGGGCCTTTCTGAGTGGTCGATAACGCTAGACGCATATCCAACGATATTATTACAATCCTACCTTGCTTCGTTTTCAACGGTCGATCTCTTGAACCCTGTTGTTCGGGTTACACCTTCGACACTCCCTTTTCGAAATACCTTCCGAGCAACCCGGGTGTAACCCTCTTCTCTCTCTCCGGAACCTTACAGCTCTCTCACTCTACACTCTGATTTTGTGGTCCAGCATATGGTTGATTTCCTTCATCTGGTGGCATGGACTCTCAGGACGGGATTTCCGTCCGGCCTATGAGGCGTGAGTAATTTTTTTTTTTTTTTTCTTTTCGTGGTGTTAAGTTTGTTCGATACTAATTTTGTGGCTCCGAAACTTGCAGTGAAGGTGCTCTACACATTCGACGATGCCAACAAGACAAATTGTCTGGCCCGATGGCCCCATCTTCTCGACATCCAGACTGCTGCCCTCGATGAGAAGACCCAAATTGGGGTCATCGAATTGAAGACCTGCATTCAAGCCATTGTTTCGGCAAGGTGAGTGCTTTCGCCATAGGGTCAACCGACACTACGTGGATACTTATTGCAATGGTTTCATGTGACAGTCCGGAACTAGTTGCCAAACTTGGACAGGATTACACGGTGTACGCCTACGACTACTCCGAATATGAGACGCCCCTCGTCGGACAAGGGATGCTATCATGGGTGTTGGCTTCGTCTTCCCCGACTCCCGATGCACCAGCACATCAGTCGGAAACTATGGTCACCGGTCGTGTCTGCAAGAATGTTCTAGGGTTATTTTCGAAAGGTGCACAGGAAACATTGGAGGTCAAATTGCGATTAGTTCCTGTTCCCACAGTCATGCAGAGCGAGTACCTGGACAGCATGCAGAGATATCGCGAACTGAGCAATGTCATTCCCCACGACTTTGACGCACAGGCCTGGACGAATTTCCTTCGCCAAAACCCCGGTCTGCTGGCCCATCGTCCTCAACAGCCCGACCGGACGGCATCGCCTGTGGACCACGCCGGAATTGAGCGGTTCCATCGCCTACTGAGTGAAGGCTCAACGCCAAGGGAGCTGCCTTCGATTGCCGCCAATGGGTCTGTTCGCTCGGTGTCGCCCTCACAGTCTGTGCTTGGTCATGGAAGCAGGATGTCCACCCCTGGCTTCCAGCCATCCGCGCAGCAGCAAGACCAAATCCAGGAAAGACCTCACAGCGAACTTGTTCGACCGACATCGAGTGCTTCTATGCGCGAGTCTGATCTCCCGATGCATGCGAGATATGCCAGCCGCAGAGGATCCATGCAGTCCGGCTACGGTAGTGGTGATGAATCATCGGAACAGCAACCTCGGAAAAGAGCCAAATTGTATCGTGCGGATTGGCCCGGCAAGTCAGACTTGAACATTGAAAGGCAACCCAGCTCCCTTCGTGTGGCCGCAAGCACTGCGGCGTCCGTGCGTATCCATCGCCCTACCCCCGTCAATCCTTCAATCGCTGCTGCTCAGAGCTCAAATGAGGAGCCTGTTCGCCCGCCAACTCCGATTTCTAATGCAAATGAACTGCCTCGCCGAGCACGCCCCCGGCCCAGCCTCTTGCGTGAGTCGTCAATGCAGAGCACTCCTCAGTACACGTCACCATACACTGCGGCCGATGATCATCCAGGTGACCACAACACCCAGTCGCCGGAGGAGTCTCGCTACCAAGGCATCTTCGAGCCTTCATTCAATATGCCTTCTTCGCCTCCCGTTCTCGACTGCGGCTTTCCGAACCGCTCTAGCCCAGTTCTCCCGCCTATGGCCACTGACCCGGATTCGGGCTTCATGAGTGGGGGCATGGACGATCTCCTGGATGAGGATATTGGTACGCCGCTGGAGGACTGCACGAGGTCCAATGATGCAACTCGAGGCAAACGAAGTGTGCGTCCTGCTGTGCCAGCGAGCTCACCTGTTGGGCCCATGGCCCATGATACTTATCCCGCCAGCGATGTCCTGCCGGATCAAACTGCTAAGGACAAGGTATCTGCGGTTCCTCGTGCCCCAACTAGTGCTGCGGGGTCGCGGCCATCGTCTCGTGCCGGTATCAGACAAACTCCCAAGCCTCTCGCGCCCGCCCCCATGTCGCAAAGCGAATTGGAACAGCTGATGAGTGCTATCCCGGCGAGTGATCCGGTAATGCCTACCCATGTGCATGTGCCCAACACACAATCCTGGAATGGACCGATGAGTGACTTTTCAGTCGCGGAAACACCCGCACCTCCACCCCCTACTGAGGACGGCAAGGTTCGCAGTGGCGCTGGTGCGAGACGAGTGCGGCAGGTTCAAGCACGTCTTGCCCAGTGCATTCGGGACGGACAAGCTCCTCCTTATTGTGAAAATTGCGGCTCGATTGAAACCCCTACCTGGCGTAGGGCATGGTCCAAGGAGATCGATGGTACCGAAGAAGAGGCCATTGATCTCGTCAAAGATTCTGCTATGTTATTCTGGCAAGCCGTGGATCGCGATGATCAAGAAAAGGTCACCAAATTCAAGATCTACAAGAAGAGCCTAGTGGATACTGATAAGGACTTTGTTCAAGTCCTACTCTGCAATCGTAAGTAACCCTCCAGTCAGTTCATTCTTTCAGTTACTAATGATATTCTAGCCTGTGGTCTTTGGCTTCATAAGTTCAAGTGCATGCGGCCAGAAAACAAGTGGAACAACAAGTCCGGCAACAACAAGAGGAAGCGCCCTCCCAGGAACCGCAAGGGCGGCGGTCCGCTGTCCGGTAACCCTCCATCGGCGAGGAACCGCGTCAGAGCTGAAGCCGGAAAGCCCGATGCCTCTTCGCCCGGCGTATCTGATGCATCCTCACCTCCAGTGGACGATGGCACTACTCCCCGCGGTGATAACGAGATCAATGAGAACAACGAGAACGAGCCGAGCAGTGTGCAGGACAATGATGATGTCCAGGAGCTCCCAGCCAAGCGACGCCGCGCAAACAGCCTGGAACCGCGCAAATCGACCGATACTGCGGGAAGCCGTTGGCACGAGAATGATCCGGTGGAAGCCCTCCGAGCAGCGATCCAGTCCAGTCCAGCTAGAAATCTTGAGCACCGCAATGCTTCTGCTGCGGGTGAGAATGCTCTTACTCCTAAGTCTGTGAGAAGAGTGCTTTTTCCTAATTCGCACAATGAGGGCGGGCCTTTGCGAGCTTTAGGTGACTCCACCTTGAACAGCCCCCGGCGGAGCCCTCGTGTCAATAGCGGATCGGACAAGCGATCTGACGACAAGGAAAATCAGACTTCTGCTGACCTGGACGGCCTCTTCGAGAGTCCCGAGTTTGACTTTGACCTGCCCACCAGCCCCACTCCTCGGCGTCGCAACCCCCGCGCCAGCGTTCTGGGCGAGAAGCGGCACTCCCTTCCCGGCGATTCGCCTTCGCGGACCCGGAAGGGACTCGGCAGCGATGCCACGCCCACCAGGGTCACCGCGCAAAGACTTCAGCGGATCCAGAGCAGCCCGGGGCCGGCATCGCGCCACAGCAAAACGCCCAAGCAGTCACGTACGCAGGGCCTTGGGCTTCCCGCTTTGGCAGATGATGCCTTCAGCACGGACGCGTTTAGCGGGATAGACAACATGATTGTGGATATCTTCTCGGACGCACCTTCTGCCAATGCTGACGCGCTTTTCGCCCTCGATGCGAACAAGGGCAATTGGCCTGACTGGATCCCTTCGGACTATGTGTCTCCCACGGGAACTGACGGCGAGCCAGCTGGTGAAGACTCTCAGGATCTCATCAATGCGCTGCTGTCTGATCCGGACCTCCAAAAGAACCCCCAATTCGATATTTTCAACTACGTTGACAACAACGTCCTGGACTCTGGCTTCTTCAGTTCCGACGCACTTAACGCCGACAGCTTGGCCCTGGGCGTGAAAGAGAAGGCGTCCGAAGAAGCAGCCAAGGACAAGGAACCCCAGACTACCAATGATGCTTAATGAGTCTCCTTTTTGTGTTATGACGATGCCGACTTTCACTTGATATTTCTTTACCTGTGTTTTTATTCTAGCGATGGCGTTGGATGGATAGGCAATGGTGATGTGCCATCTGCCGCTACTGTCTTTCTTTGGGGATAACCTAAGGCTATGATATGCTTTTGTTGGAAGTGGTTTGAATGGGATGGATATTACGGATGGAAACTTGGGAGGATTGAAGGATTAGAACAAGATACCAGCACTCGATGCTTAACATACAATAAATGAATAATAATTGACAAGCTGTGTTTGTTGTAGTAGATTGTAAGTCAACCGTATAATATTTTGATAGACAGATATCGTAGATTTAACCCAACGCCGAAGAATAACCCGAACACGATGCAAATGACACCTCAGCTGCAGGACACATAAAGATACTAGAAACCACCCAGCACAGCAAGATATCTCACGTAGCTCAGCATGCTCTTTACCCATCCACTAACCCATTCTTTTATACCACATTATCATCCTCCCTAACAGCCACTCACTCATCATAGAAGATAGGCTTGAGCTTATGCGTAGCATTGACAACATGCTCATAAATCTTGTAGTCTACAATTAATGTCAATTAGCACCTTATCCTTAGCCCCTTCTCCACCTCATCTGCAAGTAAAGAAAGGAAGAAAACGTACCACAATCCGCCGGACTGCCCCAATCCGTACTGCCTAGGACTCTAATACCGACACCCTATACACCACAACATCAGCCATTATCCATCAACCATCCCAAAACCAACCCCAAAGACACCAATAAAAGGAAAAGAAAAAGATGGTATTGAACATACACTCCCATTATCCAAATCAGCAACCTTGCCAATAATCTCGACCAACTTTCCCATCTGCAAATGCGAATCGGGCTTCAGGATGAGCGTCACATCGCCGTGGTTTCCGCACGTCATGGTGGCCGTGTCGCCGCGCAGAGCAGTCACTGTTCCTAGGATGCGGACGGTATGCGAGGTGCGTGGGCCGGTGGAGGAGGGGTGGAAGGCGTGGAGGTGGGAGGGGAGGATGCGGGGGGTTTGGAGGGACATCTTCTCTTTTATTCCTATTTCTCTCTTCTCGTTCGTGGAGGTGGTGTTGGTAGGATGGTTTGTTTGTTGGTTCGGTTTGGGTTATAGTGAGGGGAGAATTGGGGAAAGAGGGGTAAGTAATGGTGGGATTGGTGTTGATATTGATATGGTATTGATCACAGTAGTTTAGTTAGTTGGTAGTAGATGGGATAGGCGGCGCGGCGCGCGTGACGCGTGGTCATGTGACTGTCCGGAGCTTTCTGCATGTCTGGGATCTCGGCCTAAGGTTTGATTATTGAAGGCGGAGAGAGAGCTAACTATGGACTCCGACTGCCGGTAATTCTTTTTTTACAGAGTATAATCCAGAACAACGCCACGCGCTACACTTCTATTTCAATCTCATTACCAATCAAAGAGAGAAATATAGTACTTCGCGCAATTCTCTTCTATTGTTGAATTGATTCCCACAATTCATTAATCGACATGCCACCTCCCCTCCCCTCCTCCCATCGCGGCATGACCGCAAACCCCGTCCGACCAAGCAGATACCGACCCGGCAAAGCCATCGCGGAGGAGCCCTCCTCATCGGAAGAAGAGGACGAAGAGGAAGCAGAAGCCAAGAAGGAAGCCGAGAGACAGAGACAGCAGGAGCGACGCAGACTTGAACAACAGCGACGACAAGCTCCCAAGGCGAGCTCGTTTCCTGCGGGCGCGGCGAATATCGCTCGGGGTGTTAAAGATGTGAAGATTGAGGAGGAAGCGGATGAGGATGAAGAGGGGTTTGTGACGGAGGATGAGGAGGAAGATGAGGCCAAGCCTGCGAAGGCGGCTGCTCCTGTTGCTGGCGACAGGGTGGCTGCTGCTGCTGCTGCTGCTGCTGCTGCTGCGCCGGCGCGGACGGCTACGGTGAAGGAGGGATCGGAAGAAGAAGAGGAGGAAGAGGATGAAGAGGAAGAGAGTTCCGAAGAAGAGAGCAGTTCCGAAGACGAGGCACCGCGCAGAGTGCTTTTACGACCTACGTTCATCAAGAAAGACAAGCACAACAATACCCCCGCTCAAACACAGAACGGCCAAGCCGCGACAGGCACAGTGGTGGATAGCTCAGCCGAGACAGAGGAGCGTCGGAAACAGCGACAGGAGAAAGCCGACGCTTTGATTCGGGAGCAACTAGAGAAGGACGCCATTGCTCGGAGCGAGGCGAACCGGGCGTGGGATGACGACGAGCTCGAAGTCGGCGAAGAAGGAGCGATTGATGATACGGACGGAAAAGATCCAGAGGCCGAGTACGCAGCGTGGAAGCTCCGAGAACTGAAGCGCATCAAGCGCGAGCGTGAAGCGATCGAGGCTGCGGAGAAGGAGCGTGAAGAGGTCGAGCGGCGCAGGAATCTCACTGCCGAGGAGCGCGATCGCGAAGACCGCGAATACCTCGCCAAGCAGGAGGAAGAGAAGGAGGCTACTCGAGGCCAGGCCGGATACATGCAGCGGTACTTCCATAAGGGAGCGTTTTTCAGCGAAGACATGGAGCGCGAGGGACTGGCACAGAGGAATATCATGGGTGCGAAGTTTGCGGACGATGTCTCGCGGGAGACTCTACCTCAGTACATGCAGATTCGTGATATGACGAAGCTTGGAAAGAAGGGACGCACGCGCTATAGGGATCTGAAATCAGAGGACACAGGTCGCTTTGGCGAAGGGTTCCAGAACAGGTCACGGAATCGCGATGGTGGAGCCCCTATAGGCATTACCGACGAGCGATTCATGCCTGACCGTGACCGTGATGATAGACCTAAGGGACCTACTGGGGCTAATGCCTCTGCTGTGCGCGAGAGACGGAGATCTAGGTCGCGATCACGCTCGCCGCGACGAGACCGTCGCGATCGCTCAGCAGACCGGTATAGGCCTGATACAAGCAGTCGCAGGAAACGGAGCCCGTCGCCTTATGAAGATCGGGAGAAACGGAGACGCGTGAGTGTTTCGCCCGAACGGTAAAAGAGAAGCATGAAAATAGGACATAAGGACATTCTATTGTTAATCGGCGTTTGTCGGGTATCTTGATATGAAGGATGGATTGGGTCATGATTGATGCATTTCCTCCTGCAGTTAATGTGGCCTCCTAGGAGGAGAATAGACTCTACCTGCGTGTTCGTTCGGCGGACGAACAGCAGCGTAAAAATCACACCTTGCTGTTGCACATAGAAGACACAGATGTTCGAGCGGACTCATCGCGTCGGCATCAACAATGAATGCTGCTGCGACTGTCACATATAAACCGTACCTCTTTCCACACCCAACCGAGCTACCCTCATAACACCACAAATCACAAGAACCCGTTCGCATTCTATAATACTGAAACAAATCGCTGCATAAACAATGGCCGATCATACACCATAGAGAATAGAATAAACAGCCGCCGCACAAGGATATCAATCACATCCCATTCATTCGTTCATTTATTTAACGCCGGCCCTCTCCAAAACCTTCTCCCGCTCCATTACACTCTCCCCAAAGCGCAACAAGAATATCGTCCTGCCGGGCCACATCTCCGTAGGCTGATTATGAGCGGTGACCTTCGCCTCGAATCCACACCCATCGCAAACACCCTCAATAATCCCCGCCACGAAGGCGGCGCAATTAAGCATGCTCATTTCCTTCGGCACACTGATATACGTATTAACGAGGGGATCATTATCGGTGATCATATATTCATTAGGCGTCTCGGGGGAGACAGAGTGCTCGAGGGCATCGGCAGGACGATTAAACAGGAGGCGCCAGAGAGGGCCGTGGATGAGATGAAGGAGGGGGAGGATACGGAGGGGACGATTGGGAGGGGAGGAAGAAGTCGAGGAGGAACTGGATAGAGCGGAGGATGTGGAACTGGACATGGTGCGGTAGAAGAGGAGGTCGAGGAGTCGGAGACCTAAGGGGTAGCCTTGTTCGTTCAATCTACATTATCAATCATTAGTATATGGTTTGGAAGTTGGGGGACGGAGGGTGTGCAAGCAAAGCTTAAACCTACCGTCTTTCTAAATCCTGAATCCCTGTGACTCGTCTCTGAGCATAAGTCACCATCTCGGCGAACAGAAAGGCGAAGCTAGCCCGGCTGAGCTCCGCATTGCGGCTGCGGTTCAGGTGTCTATCGTAGATGGTTTTGCGGTTTGACGGGACGCGCAGACCCTGGCTTGATTGAGATTGCGTGTGGATGTGTTGTGCTGGTTGTTGTCTGTCTGCTGCTGCTGCCACGGGGAGGTTTGGGCCGCTGTTGCTAATGGATAGCATTGCGGCGTGGCGGGCGGGTTGCGCCATGTTGACAGTATGTGTAGGTATTCAGAGTTGGTTGTGATGGATGACGAGGGTTTTGGTTCACGGAGAGCTAGTCGGTCATTCTGATGGGTTTCAGTTTTGAGGATCAGAGGATATGATCATGCTGGTTCATGAGTGTAGGGTGGAATTGAATGTCCGACGAGGAGCGGGCGAAGCTGTTGATAGATGTCCCTCCGGTAGGCGGCATGGGGGAAGCTACGGGGAGGCAGGGGCGCAGTCATGCAGTTTCGGTGATGGCCTCAGGTGCTTGGAATTAGGCTTGATTAAGCCGCATGCCGCCAGAGAAGTCTATTAGAGATTTAAAGGACTCTACGGTTTGCAGTATATACGGGTAGGCTACTACGAAGAAATTGAGAGCGAACAATCTTCAATCGAATAAATATCCATTGCGAATAAATCTAACTAATCCCTGAGCAAGCGTCGACGAAGTCTCGACTTGCCCTTCCTCTCTTTCAAATATCAAACCCTGTCAGGGTATAAAGCCATCAAAGCCAATAAACCTATTCTAAGCAAGCAATATTAGCATACGCTCGCGGCGAAACCAATGGTGAATCAAAATCAAAGATAATTGACGACCAAGTCAGACATCCAAGGAAGTATTGCGCACAGAGCCGTCTATGATGGGTTCATGGCGACGACTAGCGTGGAAACTGCGAATGTAGGAAAAGTTTTCATCATAAGAAGCCTTCGCCTTGAGTCAAGGCTAAGGTTCTGGTCGTGTTGAGGCAGGTAGAATGCGTGCGAAGCAGGAAAAAAAAAAGTTAAGAACTTACCAAGTTAGTCGCACAATGCAATCCTTGCATGGTGAGAAAGTAAATGTCGCTAGTAAGTGCTATAGCACTCAATGGAAATCATCATAAAATTCCAATCGACCAGATTTTGTCGTCTGTGAGAATTTCTCAACACATGAGTTGAAGTGCGAGAAAAGGGAAGAAGAAAATTTCGGTGCGGGAAGACCCTTTTTATAGTCGGCCTCAGGCTGCCCGGGAAACCCGCCGACCCATACGAAGATTCTAGAGAGGCCGAATTTTCATCACCAGCCTCCGCTACGAAAGAAATCGAACGTTCGATTTCTCGCCAAGTTTAGCGCGCATCATTTTGTTAGGAGGTAGTTCTCCTTTCCCATGTTATGTTACATATGTTCATATTCAAGTTTATGGCAGTATGCATAAAATTCCGTATTTGGTAATATTGTATATCGAATCGTAAACATGTCCATATGCTCGTTGCTAGCAAGCAAGTTCTTATTTATTGCGCTTTGCTTCATCCACCGGGTCGAGGCTCTTCTGCCTCTGTCTAGAGTTCCAATTCAGTGTCTTGGAAATAGTGTGCACCCAATCGTCTCCACGTCGACCACGGGGTAGAACATTCGCGAATGGATATCGCGATGCGGAAACCGTCACATAATCGCCTGGGTGTAATTCAATCCTGTGTTCTGGTTAGCCATCTGTTCTATATATACTCATCGACGTAACTCACCTCTCCCGGCCATCAAAGCTGGCCCATGAGCTCGCCCGAGCATCGTAGGGTACTCCCATTCGGAGAACAATCGTATCTGGCAGGATTATAGGCCGGAAAGAGAGTGTATGGGCGCAAATTGCAGTGACGAGAATAACAGGGTTGTCCGGATGAGATAGTGATCCTCCAGCTGCGAGGTTATACGCTGTCGAGCCGGTTGGTGTCGCTATGCAAACACCATCGGCGAGCAGCGTTGTGAAATGTTCATCGTCGCCGAACAACTCAATCGATGACATAGCTATATAAACAGTTAGCAAGCACTCCATGCGACAAGGTGACAGAGAGGACATACTAGGATTCGGCCCTCGATCAAGAACAACATCATTCAATATCTGAAGCACCTTATCCGGTCTATGCGTTAACGTATCATCACCTTCTTCCCCAATCAACTCCTCGACCAAATCCCGTTTCCCACCAGGCCCCAACTCCCCCTTCGGCAGTGGATTACTCCTCATAATCGTGCACTCAAACCGTAGTCGTAGATTGACGACCACGCCATCCTTAAACGCAGCCGACAGCGTCTTCTGATACTCATTGAAGTCAAACTTGGTCAAGAAGCCCAACGAACCAAGCGAGAACGACAACACCGGCGGCACCACATGCTGAAACAGCCAACTCGTAAACAGCACAGTACCATCTCCTCCGAGCGTGACCACGAAATCAAACAAATGAGCTCTCTCCGCCGCCAGCTCATGATCCCAATACTTCAGTCGACTCTTCGCCGATGGCTCCTCCCTCAGTATCTCTGCTGCACCGAACTCCGGATCCGTCTCCAACCGTTTCTCCACATACACATTATACTGCGTATCGCGATCCCTCGATAAAAGCCACCTAGCGACCTCCCTCGTCGATCCAATCACCGATTGATCGCCCGCCTTGGTGACCAGGAATACCGTCTTGACCGTGAGTTTCAACTTGATACTGTCCAGCTTCTTGGACAGCTTGCGCACGTTCCACGCCATATCGGATAACTGCTTCTTCGTCAGGTGTCGTGATTGCATCATTTCTTTCTCTATCTCATCTTCGTCGTCCTCTTCCATTGCTGCTTCTTCTTCTTCTTCTTTTTTCTCGTCCTTGGTCCCCTTCAATACCCCCTCTAACACCTTCACTTTATTCGTCGGATCCCCCCATTCCCCAGCTATCAACGAGTGCACGAAACACGCTGTCGTCTGGTCGGCATGCGAGAGATCAGGTCTCGTCATGGGATCATCTGCCATGACGAGGGAGGATTTGCGACGATGGCTGCATTCGGGTTGGAGGACGACCTAGCAGGATGTGTCTTGTGTTAGTCACTCCAATCACTGCGAGATATCGAAATCATAATTACCTCGAGCTGATTATGTGTATCTGACGAGTAACCGTCCGTTCCGCTGCGACTCTTTCAGATAAGTTAGCTTCGTTCTGCGGTGATTATTGGATTTGCTGGACAACCTACGTGATCGCGGTGTAATGCTGGCTCCTCCTCTCCAGCCATGGTGCGTATGTGTGTGAATTTGGCTAATTTGGAATGTTCAAATAGGTCGACTCACGCTGTTCGTGATGACACTATTGCGTGGTCGTCATTGTACAGGTTGGTGTGGGTTGATGAGAGGTCGCAAACGGTGAAAGAAAGGCGGCGGGTATGACGTCGTTGCCGGTCCGGCGGTCATGGTGCATGAATTGGTGTCAATGTGATGGAGTTGGTATGGATGCAGAAATTGGGATTGTTGAATTCGGTGGTATGTGTGTTGGTGGGATATCTACATGAATGATGGGACTTGAGAGGGATTATTGTGATGGTTTGGTGGTGATTGTAGGCTTGGTGTGGTTATTGCTTGTGATCATGCGGCAACTATGTAGATATATATATTTTTAGTAGTGGTTGACGGATAGGGATACACTCAACATTATGTCCTCCTACATGACATTGTCGATGGCATTAGTCTTCAAAACCCATACTAATAGTAGTACTAACTGCTTCACCTGTGACAATGATGCAATACACAGGCAAATACTACAAAATACTGTACACAGAATTGGCAATTCAAAAAGTGTACAACCAACCCTCAACCAACCTCATAGTAACCAGTAACCACGCAGTGACACAAACACCGCACACACCAACTACGTACTACTTAACCACAACAAAAACAAAGGTTCAACCCCAGCAGTTCAACCTCACGTCACCTCAAACCCCGATAATAAGCGATCCCCATCAACTAAGTAAACACGCGTTACACAGATCGTCCCCCAATGCATGCATGCATCCATCCATCACCACGCATACACAACCATGATTACTCTACTCCTACCACAGCATTCATTGTTCCACACGTAACCAACCAAGTGAGGCAAAGCTACCATGTAGGGACGATCCGATCATCTCGGAGAGTTAGTTGCCTTCAATATTTCATTTCCTTCTAGAAGGTCTACAAAATCAATAGTTTCGTTTCGGTAGGTCGGTGATATAATTAGAAATCTGGACCGCACAAAGACGGAAAGTAACTAAGTAAGTCCTATGTAGTTACTGAAAGATACTCCGTAAATAAATAACGGAGGTCTATTCCCTAGATAGGCATTAATCAATCAAGCAAGCAATCAAGTCGGGAGTTTCGTATATAGATAGATAGTTTAGTTCCAGGTCACGAAAGTCTAAAGTGGCTTTTTACTTTGCTTTGCGTTCGCTGTATGTTACTGTGTATGCTTGATGAGCGCAGAATGACCAGTATACTTATTATTTAGACAACATTTGGATCATCAGGTATGGTATAGGGTTTGTGGAGACTGTTTACGATGGGTGGTGACACGTCCGAAGTATATAGTTAGTTACTATAATAGTAAACGAGGGGAATTGTAAGTCTAGTTTCACTGCAAGTGGATGATGATGATACAGGATTATGGCTGTGTGAACTGTGAACTGTGAAGACAGTCGAGATGTCATGAGGCGGCAAAGTGGGAATGAGGATGCGTGGCACATGAGACAAGCGGACAACAGACTTTCTTAGCCCGTCTTGGGCAAGTGGTTATTTATTTATTTATTTTTTCTTTGGGGCACAATGATAATAATAATACAAGACAAGTGGAACACAGTAGATAGTAACTAACTGAATCCAGTAGTCATCGGGGTTAGGTTCAATAACTCGCAACCCACGCGCCCCCGAGGCCAGTTCGATCTAGGCGCGTTAGCAGCGGGCCATAGTTAGCCATGGTCAGTACCAGATAGTCACTCAAGTCAGAGTCAGGTCAGGTCAGGTCAGGTCAGGTCAAGTCAGGTCGAGGCTAAATTAGGGAGCAATAAAGTGAGGTGATCAGCCCTTTGGGAACAACCGGCACACATAACAACAACGTGCCATGTTTGCCAGCCACCGAATAATCCGGGCTCCACTGCCCTATATGTAGTAATAATAACTACCACCACAAACAACCACCCGACAATCCCGCGGCTCCCGTTTCTGCCCCTCTTCATCTATTTACGGTTTTGCGAGGATTTAAATGAATGGATGAGGATGGACATTACAGCGTCACGACGATGACTTGCCGTGTTCCCAAAACTTGTTTTGCACATCTCTCTCTCCGAACTTTGTACACGGTCGCTGGACACGTAGATTACAACAAGGGGACTTTTTGTCTTTCTTGTCTTCTTTCCATCTTTAGCATCGGCCGTCGATGAGAAGTTCCAGCCTTGAGCCACAAACCACAAAGAGTACCCCGGATGATGCAAGAGACAATCAGAGAAAACTTCCACTACCGAGAGAAAGTATCGACTATTGGGGCGGGACGAATAGTCAGCCATGTGGCTTTCCGAACTCCAGTCATGGCCGGAACTCAACTTGTCGTCCATACATCATCAATCATTGCAGGTCCCGGTCCCCATCAAGTGGAAAGGGAACCATACTTTCTCGGTCTCTTGTGTAGATAGTACTCCGTAGTCCGCTAACCATTTCCCTACTCGGCCGAGCATGGAAATCCGCCTACGTAAAAGGTTAATCAAGACACCGGAGAATAACTAATATCCAAGGCCGCTTAGCCCGAGAATTCTGTTTGGGAGAAACTTGACAATTTGCGGGCGGCCCCAACGCACAACTCCATTAGGAATGGAGGGATTATTGCCAACAGTTTACCTTTTCGAGGGGAGGGTCAATCTGCATACCGCCACTACACTCATCCAGCTGGTTTTGACTTCCTCCGTAAGGCCATGATGAGACCAAGCCCCCGAGAAGGAAAAGGATCACTTTTTTTTACAGATCCATAGGTCAGGTAGCGTCTGATTGACAGAATCCTGGACGCGTTATTTGCTCGCAAGAGCTGAACTAGATTGACCCACCAACGGTCAGACATCCCTCGACAATACTTCATTGGTGGTAGTGGTGCTGGTGGATTGTGGCAACACCCGCTGTTTGCCGATTAGCATCATGCAAAGGAGGCACTAGGGTGCGAGGGAGGTGAAGGGGGAAATCCGAATGAGGAGTGTGATGAGCAGATAGACAAGCACAACTGCACAAGTACTTGTAAGAAATTAAAATGAATTGGGAAAGAGAGAAAAAAAAAAGGAAAATTTGGAGACCAGCCAAGACTAATTTCCTTCGTTCGGGGCAAATTTGGCTGCGGCAAATCGGGTACGTACCCCACTTTATGATGGATCTGCCGTGAGTCCGTGACAAGTGCAGCAGCAAACCAGCAACAAGTCGGGAATCTCAGCCACCGTCGATGATTAATCCCTAATATTGGGAAAATCCTGGGAACTTAACGAACGGAGAAAGGTCGTTCGTCTCGCGCGCTGACTGGTTTGCCAGTTCTAGTAAATCCCCCATCAGTGGACCGCTGACTATCATTGACCGCAACTGGGTCACGGTGCAGTCGGGCTTGGTGCGATTTACCGTCGATCTTCTAATAGTGAGTCTGTCAACCGGGTTATCTTTTGCTGGTCGGCCCCTCTTCTCTTACTCTTAAGTTGGTATGGAGTGTCGGTTGTAGTTTTAGCAGTAGTTCTTTGCTTCGCTTCGCTTTGGAATGGGGAACTGGTCAGTGTTTTTAGGAAATAGCATTATCCTGTTTGGTGGGTTTCTCCCCAGCACACCGCGAGAGGATGGTGGAGGTGGAGGAGAGAAAGTGCATCGCTGCCTGGATCTGATTGCCAGGGGTAGTGAAACGACCCAAGGCGCCTTCGTATCCCTAGACCACATCTGGTATCGGGTCTTTTCCATCTGCGGAAACCCTTTCGAGGGGCAACAATGATGGAAGGTGATGCTGGTCCGGCGCACAGTACTATTATGTACAAGCCCCTCTTGTAGCGTCATAGGCTGAAGCAGCCGCCGGAAAGCCTCGCTACTAGATAATTTGCACCTAAGGCAGGCGATGTATGTGATGAGCGCAGCGCTATCAGTTTCTCAGGTTCATTGGTGCAAGGATGGTCATGTGGTTCCATTGCCTTTCGTTCTGCGAGATGCAAGTCCGCCTCTTTTGCAGAATCCATCCCAATTCCCTGCCTGCATTCAAAATGCATGCCTGACACCGTCACATTTGGCCTTGCAATGGTGGCCTGACGGCTATACCTGATTCGGGCGGTATGGTATGGTAAGCATCGGGCTCTCCCACCCCCTCCTCCTCGTCATTTGCCCACTTTCATACACTAAAACTATGTACTACTGCTGCTGCTCCTCCTCCTCCTATGCTCGGGGTAGAATGTAACTGTCAGGCTGACGACGAACTTCAACCAATGCCGGTGGCATGAGGCATTGAATCCATACCTGCTGTTAGCGTGTAGTAATCATAGCGTTCCAGACCCCAGTCCACTTTATACTACATCCAGGTTTCATGCCTCTTCCTTACTGGTTGGTTGACACGTAGGACAAACCTAAGCACAGGCCACATTCTGTGTGATACCTCCCCCCTCCCTTTAGATCTGAACAATGCAAGAATCCAGAATGCTGCAGTATCTGCCGAAATATGTGGTGGCAGCTGAAGATACCTACGTACTCCGTACAGTAGGTGCCTACCTCGCATCGGCATTGCCAGCACGTCTGCCTACAGCAGATCATGCATGTTCCTCCGTGTATTATGATGAGATCTGGTTTGTTGTGTAACTCGCCGCTGCCCAGCCATACTCCACCATTTCACTCCTACTATTGTCGTCTGCTGCATTTGGAGACGAAAGATTGAGCCCGAATATGTCTCGTCATTGGCCGGATGGACAGCGCCCTATTTTGGTTCCCATGCATGCATGCATGGACCTACTGGCGGTATATGTATGTACGCCATTTTGACTCATGGCCACCTGCAGATGCCTCCCGTAGGAGCCTTGATTAGTTGTAGATATATTAGTGAGGACAAGAGGAGACTCGCGGCTGACGGTCCGCGGAATGGTAATTGTAGGATTAAAACCAGCCTGGAAAACGGCTCGACTCGATAAACCTCTCAAACATCAAGGCTCATACATCCTACGTACTCCGCCTCGACTGCTTAGGTCTCGGACTGCTCCGTATTATGTCGCAACTTGCGTGTCGTTTCCGGTCGTCAAATGGCAGATGCAGCTTACATATGACCCACTTGGGTGGTGGTTTTGGGCCTTTTCGTCCAGGCTCCTCCCTACCTACGTAACTATTGTAGGAGGGTTCCGACTCTGCCGCGCGATCTGCTTGCGAGCTCAGACATAATAGTGGCGTCGGTGAGGGCACGCGGTCAATCACCGTCTGCTAGTAACTTAATCGTTGACGATGATTGATGCCCGCGGAGGAGAAAAAGCTTTGCGAGACCCGTATCAACAACTGTGCCAGGGTGGGTTATGTGGTCAGCGATGAACAATCAGGACAAATCACACGGGCCAGGTGATGGCGGTATCATTGGAATGCCGTGTCACATCCACCCTGCGCCGATGGCTTGATTTCACGGTCGGTTGCAGCCTGGTGCTTCCAGCTCCAGCTCCAGCTCCAGTTGTAAAGCGGGCGAAGTAAGGTGCTAGTTACTGTTGGGGTGAGATCGCATCAGGAAGCATGGCTAGATGACGATTGTATGAAGGAGGCTTGGAGCCCCTGATAGCACAGCAGCGCATGTAAGCACTTTCGTCGGCAGCCAATGATAGCCGGGTACTGCTGCTATGCTAGAGGATGCTAGTAACCAAGCTGGAAGACAGAGAGAGAGAGAGCCGGCTTTTTCTTTCTTACGGCGGCATAACACAAATTTAGTTATCTAGGGGCAGTTGAATCAATGACATGCCACTAAAGTAAGCCAAATTTAAATTAGCGTCCAATGTTTTTCATTGTTGAGAAAGGCCAGTTTTGACGCTCGGGCCTAACCATGGTCTGATGACACGTTAATCCTCAGGCCGTACTCCATAGTTAGTTAGTTACAGTAGAATAGTTAGTAGTGAGGGAAGGCGGCGAGAGCAATAAAAGAAACAGCCGAGAGAGTGAGACGAATTCTGACATGCTAGCGAGGAGTGGCTTCGGAAAAAGAAGGCTAAGATTTGAAGGCGCGTTGCGAGTTGATCACTGGCTTGGAACTAATCAAGTAGTTGGATGATCGCTACTCCGTTCTGAGTTGACTTTCTCCGAAGCCAACTACGGAGTGCGACTAGCGAGACTAACAAATTGCTGCTTACTTTGGGCCTGTCTCGGACGGCGACCGCCATTTCGCTTACTTGGTTGCTGGATCGAGCGGCATACATTCAGCTAGGCGTCTGAATTCTGATGGGGAAGCTAGGGTGCTATGCAGGCGCGACCATGGCCCCTGACGGATGGGCCCCATTGTCCATCATTAATTTTGTGTATTATTATTATTACTATCTAGTCCAAGTTCGTCCCATACTAATCACGTTTTAGCCCAAACCATCACTTTCTCCGCAGTCATCCGTCGTTTTCACTATATTGTAGACGTTGCTTTTTGCTTTCTCTTGGCCCATCACTTACACTGCAGTAAAGGCAAGGGACCAAGAAACACCACAATTAACGAAGTCCAGCTAGTCTACTCCGTAGTAGATGAATACCCATAAAGCAGCCAACTTAAACCTTGCAAGTGGCTTAGTTCGGTTAGACCAGCGCGTTGGGGGGGGGGCTTGTATCCTGCTAAAAGGTCTTACACTTAATCCTGATATCACGAGCCGAAGCCCTTGGCTCATATAGTAGTATCTATCCTAACGCCCTTTCGTAATTGATCCGTGGCGTAATAATGATAGCGTGTGAATGGAGAGACCTTATATTGAGTTCTAACTTTCTGATATCCCAGGGATGCGCGGGTCCCGCCGGGAGGGCGCATCGCTTCGTGATCTTTTAGCCTTTCGCTCAATTATTAGCTAATGACATGTTAGCCGAACCTTGCTACCTGTTAGATACCATCTCGGTGGCAGCAGCGGGCACGAGCTGTCGAGTCTATCCGATTGTTGACAATCACCCCCTGAGGTAGTCTGCCTGAGTGGAATGGTGGCTGATGTTCATCCCTGCACCCTTGTATACTAGGAGTAGGAGGTGGACAAGTCCGAAAGTCAAGGCGTCGAGCATATCACGCACGCAGAATGTACAGTAGGTTAGGCGCTCGGTGTTGTGTAGTCCTTACGGCGTACCCCCGTGAGGGATCATCACCACCCCTGGCGAGGTAATCCAGCATACTCCAAACGAGTGATCCATTCCCAACCAGTATAGTATAGAATAGTATAGTATAGTAGTACGTACTGTTGAAGGCTTAAAGCGTCGTTGGTTGTAACCTATCAGATCAGTAACGACGGGGTTTTATTGGCTGTTGAAAAGCGCCGTTTGCGAGCCTCGGCTGACTGGACGGCGTGTAGAGCACCACTTAGAGCAGACGACGGGCAGGTAACGAATAGATCCTGGACCTCGCAAGCTACTGAGTAGTAGACTAGAGCTAGGCTGAGTGGTTACCGTAGTACCATACAAAGCTAACTGGTAGCTTACCTGACCTTCCTGCTTCTTGGTAGGATCCCTGTTCAGCCAGTTTGACTCCGTATTCCCGTACAAACGGAGATATGGGAGTTTGACCCACTTGGTCTGAGAACATCTTTTTTTTTTTTACCTTTTCCTCCTTTTTTTCCCTCCGACTCCTTCCCCTTCCTTTTTCGATATATTAATTGATTGAAAGATTTTCTTTCTTTTTTTTCTGTTTCCTGCCCCCTCCCTTTCCATTTTTGTCTCCCGTTACCATCCATTGCATAACCCAATCGAGGGCTGATTTGGCCCCCAAGCCTTCTGGAATTCTGCTCGACTGGCCCTCCCATCTCACGGTTTTCAGTTTCCCAGTCCCCTGCCGTCAGGTGGGCCTGCACATGCATTCCGATGTTTCCCCTCCTGTAATCTCCGGCTTCTGATTTGTAGGGCGTCCAGACGATGATCTCAACCATCTGATTAGTCGTTTTTTTCGATGATGTATCTTGATTAGTGGTGATTGTACCCGCTTAAGGCGTCGCACGGAGGTTTTCTCGAGTTCGTTACCCTTTCGATCTGGCCTGCCACGCATCTGGCGCGGTTCTAGTATAATGGAAGGCTATCCGCCTCCCCGAACAGCCGGGTTTTGAACCGGGACAAGCATTCGTTTTTTGTCCGTTTAATTTCTATTCTAGTTTGTTTCTTATTGTTGCGGATGCTTTTGCCAGTTCTCCTCGAATAAGTGCCTCGTTAGCAAACTTCATTTACGTACCGGCGTCAGTCAGATGGACTAGAACGGGCGTGACGGATGCAGTGCCACAAATCCCGATCGCCAGGCTGTCGTATATGTAAAGTGAGCCCCGGTGGCCGGAGCACGGTGGCCACATTATTGCTCTCACGGGGAGAACGTTAGTTTAGTTGGATACATCCATACAGGAGTTACTTACCTCATCCAGATAGGGTCCCTTCTTGGCCTCTTTCTTACTTTTTCTTTTTATTGTTATTCTCTGCTCTTGCGCCCCCTTCTTTGGCCCTATGCAGGTTTAGGCACATTCGCTTTTTTTTTTTTTTTTTTTTTTTTTTTTCCGCTTAGGACCAACTTCAAGACGGCCGAGCAGACCAGAAGGAGGAGGGGCGCATGTAACTCTGACCCAAAGGCGCACTAAAAGTGACTCGGGCTCAGCCTTCAGGTACTTACTTAGGCTTCTCGAGGGGCGCCACGGGGACTAACCGGAGTGGGTAGGGCTCTGCTTTTAGTCGGTCTTGCTCCGGTAGTAACCCTGGTTCTGGAAATGGTCCCCATGTCAATGGAATAATCCTCCGCCCCGGCATCCTTTGTCGATTACATATGATGGGGGGCATTAGCGCTCTAGGCGGAACCCATCTGCTGTACCTCTCTTTCTGGTGCAGCTGGACTCGTCAAAAATGCATTTATTGGCACCAGCCCACTTCCATCCCGGATAAGCTAGACAGCCAGCCTGACCTGTGGAGTCTCTTGATACCGAGCGGTGTTTCCCTCTCCCTTGTCTCTCTCACTGCCTCTTGCAACTTGCGTGTTGTAGTAGCAAAAGTAGAAGTGCACACCCCACTCTTTCTCCGGCCTTGAGCAAATTCTGTTTCTGAGTGCTCCGTACTCCGTACTCTCCGTATAACGCCGCCCCCCCCCCCCTCTCCGATCCCTGAACCCAGTCCAAGTGTTGTCATTTCTAGCCGAACTTTCCGTTTTCCCTAGTAATCCCCTCCTCCCCCCTACACCGAGAGGTGGTCCGTACGGCAAGTAGGCTTTCACCGTTCAGCCACTCAGCCAGCTGATCTAATCCGGCTCGTCACACGTATTATGGCTATGAAACATGTGATCCACAACGAAATAGATTGACCGGCAACAGGAAATTGATAAGCAAGAATAACGATCGGGATTCGGAACATAGGTACAGTTACTTGATCATTGTACTATGGTTGGAGAAGTGGTGATAGTATAACCTGTGCTGGTGCCAAGGTAACGAGGCAATCTTGGCCTCTTGTGCACGCATGAAGTATGGAGTAGCACACCTGTCTGGCCAATGAGTTGCCCAGAGCAATCAATGATCATCAGCTCAGCGCTTCACGAGACAAGTGGTTCACCGAGTCAGGCCTGGTGGGTAGTCCAAATTAGTTCTGGGCTAGTAATCTATCAGTGGTTGCAAGTATGTGTGATAACGGTGATGCCTCCCACCCTGGCGCGGTTGGACAGCAATAGAAGCACAAGCACCCAAGGAATCAGTATTTAGAAAGGATGGTCGGCGGGATGATGGGATGTGCGCCCGGGGATGCCGAAGGACGAGGATGACGATGACAAGGAATGAGACGGAAGGCAGCTTGTTCGACCATCCGCATGCTCCTTCCTGCCCTTGTCTCGATCTATCGCCAGGCTGGAAGACGATGCGATACGACGACTACCAAATTAGAGTGTTGCTTGCTTGCTATGTGGATGGGTGGGATGGATGGTGTAAGTTATGTGCCTAGCTTGCTTGAGGTTGCCGGGTAGAGAACTGGGCCAGACCTGCATCCGATGTCGATACGTACTCCGGACAGGGGAAGCAACTCTGCCCTTGGAAACTTTCCGCATTATTGTAACCCTTGCGTAACGGGCGTTGTGACGCGTTGGAAACGGTGAACTTGTGGGGACAAGACTGGGCTTGAAGGGGTTACTTAACGAGGGAGGAGACGAAGGAGGGAGTGGGTGGGGAGGGAAAGAGGAGAAGACGAGAGGGGGGGCAAATGTGTGCCTAGTTACGGAGTAGTAGGAGACTATGTAATACGGATAAGGAAGAATCATCCTCTACTAGGTAGAAACAGAAACAGGAAAAGTAAAGATGGAATGGAACGGAAAGAGAGTTGGGAGAGTGTTTGGCCGCAGGGTTGACGATCGGGTCGGATCGTGGGTCATTTTCCAGGCCAATATTACCGCTTCACCGCGGGCATTCCCATCATGACTAAGACGGCCGAGGAGAGTTGGGAAGTGTATCACGATTTGGGTCCGGCCATCCATCCATCCATCCATCCTTTATCCATGCATGTATGTATGTATGTATGTATGGAGAGGGGCAGCAACAGCCTGGGCTAGAAGTGACTCAAGGAGAGTGGTTGCACACACACACACTCTCTCTTCATTGCCTAAGTACTTTAGTACTAGTACTACATAACTTACCTACCTATCAGAGAGATACATAGTTACCCCTGGTACAGCGTGACTAATAGATCGCAAAATTCTCCCAGGCACCGTACAAAGGGCCATGGCACGGCTGCGTCATCGAGAAGGTGAGAGAGGGGGGAATTAATCTAAACACACCGGCAGTAGTTTAGTGCTACCTTTTCTTGCTTTTGATGGGGCGGCGCTCTGTGAAGTATCATACAATCATACAGTGGGTTGGTACTACATGTAGGAGTTAGTCTCAGCAGACCGACTTGACTAGTTACCAAGTAAGCGCAAAGTCGCACCTCGGTCATGAATGTAACTGATCACCGTACCTGTCTGTCGCATGTTAACTAAGTAGAAAGACACCGAGCACTAACTTATGACTATAACCACCTCACTGCATTATTACCGAAATAGCACGTACTCCGTAGTATCTATCCGACAGGGAGGACAGGGAAATCAATCAGAATGCAGGCAACGGGCGGCACCTTGGCTGGTATGGTATGGTAAGAAGCAGCAGAAAAGGATGCAGGAAGACGCAGTAACTCCCAAAAAGTTCCCAGTTTAGCCCCAGACTTCCCATGGGGCTCTCACACGGGCCTTACTACTGTGCGTCGTATCTAGTGGAAAGTTTAGTTTAGTTTACTTTTAGTTTAGTTTCGGCATGTCCCAGGCAAGTCAAAAGTCAAGTCAGTCACTCCAGTCCAGTCAATCACTCGGTCACTCACTACTCAATTCGGCTTGGAAGAGAGGGAGCTGAGGGGGCATGAAGAGGGCCCGGCCATTTTCTGGTTCCTTCTTTAAGTTCCATCCATGATCTTTGCTGCCTTTCCCTGGACTGGAGCTCCGATTTCAGTTTCCCATCCAATCATTTGCCGCTCTGCCGCAACTCCCTCGTTTTTCTCTTGACCCTCTGTTCCATATTTCTCCCCCCCTCCCGGTGGACACTGCAAGTCCATCAAATTCTTTTGCCAATGGGTCTGATCATCCCCACCATCGACATTGTTATCCATTCCCCCATCGTCACCCGCCGTTAGCCACTAAACCAGCCCCAATTCCATGGGCCTAGGGCAGTCCAGAAGTCATTTTTGCCAGCACAGAGTCAGAGCCAGGATTGATTGCCCGCTTCGCAAGTCCCAGAGAGTGCTTTCGGAGTGGAGACAGCATTCGTGTGGCATGGGCTCATCTGAATCATCTTCATCATCATCAACCATCCTTCCTTGGGTCCCCTTCCTTCCTTGCCATTTCCTCCCCTTCCTGGTACCTAGACTAGACTCAGTCCTAGTAGTCTGAGCCCCCCCTTCTACTCCTCTCGTCCCATGTCTTGCCCTGTTCGGTTCCCACCAACTAGTCTGCTTTCGTTAGTGTCAACGTCGTGTCATCCCAACATGTGCCCGCTCCCACTAACCCATTAGTCTTCTTACTTACAGTAATGGATCGTGGAACTGGGGCGGATGGTAGATCAAGAAATTCCCATGTACATGCGTCCCACATCTCCGTGTATCACCCTCATGTAGGGCCTTCCTTTTTCTTATTTTATTTTTTTTCCCCATCTACCATTAATTTATTAATATTATTTTTTTTTCCATTTCCCCTTTTTTGCCTTTTATTTTTACTTTTTTAGATTCGCTCCTACTTTACTCTCTACCGCATAATCTACTACTTATCCGAACCATCTGGGTCCATTACTCGACTAGGCACTGGGCTTGCTACTTAGTATCGCACGCACTTAACTGTACCTTGCCTCCACGCCTTGTGACCCTCACGCCCCCTGTGTCATCTTTAGATGATAAGTCTCGAACCCCAGTCTTCGGAGATCCTTTACATATTCCTGCAGTCATCATCCACGGATCCTATCCGTGCTTGATACTCCATATAATCTAACCACCGCCCTATCCCACCATCCCGTCTTATCCTTCTAGCCTCTCACCTACTACTACTATGTATGCTTATATCACATACCTCCCTCCTCACACTTTCAATTGACCATCCACCTCCTCTCAGCCCTATCTTTCATACCCAAGTCTTCTATCCCTCTCTCTCCCTCTCAACATCTCACTATCTTCTCAATGGCCGACTACTGGCAACCCCAATCGTCCTTTGCGAACCCTAGCTGGGTTCAGGGCAACCAGTCATGCTGGCGCTCTTCGACATTTCGTGACTTGATCCATGCTTTCCCTAAACCCAAGCGGACGGGTCGAGTGATGAAACCCCGCAGCGCTGGGAACAGTCCTTCGTCTGCTGGCAGACGGCGCACAGCAACCATCCCTTACAGTTCGCCCATGTACCAAGGCTACCAGGCTCCCGTCAACACTGCCTTTGTAGCCTCTGCACTTGCCCGAACTGGCCAGAACCGTCCGACAAGTTGGCATCCGGCTTTGGAGCCTGTTAGCTATCCTACTACTCAGTATGTGCCAGCAACTACGGCGTTGGACAACTTTGCCGCCATTGGCGTGTGCCCTCAGCCACTGCCTACTGCCTCTGCAACCTTCGACAACTCTTCCATGATGTCATCATACACCTCTACAGATATTCCATGCTCGGATATGGGATTCCCTTCCCTGCCTGATGCACAGCATCAGATGTCGCTCCAACAATCTACCATGCTGCCGATGAGCGAGTCTCAAATTGAGCCCGTTTCCTGGGACACCAGCGCTTCAACCTTGTCGGCAATGGCAGAACCTATGTCTGACTGCTACTCTTTCGACATGTCATCCATGCACAACAACATCCCTCCAGTCTACGTCGCAGGTTCGAGTTATGAGAGTGTACCGTCGTCGGGTTGCTTGACTGGCCCTCCTACGCCTGACTTTCTACCTATTCAGCGACCTGATGACGACCTGCATTCGCAGGTAGAGTCCTTGCCCGAGAAGCAGAACGAGGATGAACTCGTCGGAATGGGTCTCTACAGCAACCCGGAAGCTTCGCTGGGAAACTCGCTCTTAGGGCTTTCCGGCAAGGGGCTGAAGTTGGAGGAGACTTTCACCCCGTCTTCCGACAATGAAGCCGAAGACCAGGACGATGAAGATGACCAGGAGCATGAGGACGATGATGACGAACAAAATCAGGATGAGAGCCCCGTCAACAACAAGGGCACTGATTCGAACCCTAAGCAGCCTGAGGCTGAGACTTTTCAACAACCGATCAAAGCACCTACCAACATGATGCAAAGATCCTTTTTCTTTGATGACGACGACCTCGAGCAGCATGCCGTGGTCGATTCCCAGCCATTTATTAACATGGCTAGCCAACCCTGTATGAATTATGGTTATGGATGGATTTGATTCCGACACTGTCGCGTTTACCGCCCTTGATTATTGCTCTTTTCGGTTTTCGGGCTACAGCATTGCATAGCGTGGAGTTATTGTTTCGGAGGCGTTTTCAATTTAGCATACAGTACAGGATACCCAGGGAGGATTGGTTGAACTTGAAATGCATGTATTAGACACCAGTGAATGTAACATTTACGAGAACATCTGTGATAAACACATCGCACCAAGGATCAATAATACGTAAGCAACAGAATAGAGAGAACCTAGTGGTAGTCTACTTTGTAGAGTTTACCTAGTTCTCAGTACATAGTAGTTTCATGAACGAAGCAACGCAGCCGAACCGATAAGGAGTCGCAGCGGCGGGAACAACCTTATTCCGGCGAACAAAATCACTGTCGACGAAGACGTACAGTGTGCCCCCGGCCGGTGCAGGGTGAGGGTGAATCATCACATTTGAAACTGCTAAATCAATCAGTAACAAAATGGCAAAGGTCATTTTCACACCATGGAAGGAGCACTCGCAATTACTCGCGGTGCGGAGTCAATTCTACCCTGCACCCTTCTATGATGGGCCCGACATGCGCTCCAAGGCCTGCGCCACTGTATGCGAAAATCCGCCCTGAAATATATGAATAAGTCTATTAGATCTAACAGTTATGATAGGTTGCAGCTTGGAAGCTACGGGGAAATCTGCCACATCCTGTTGAAGCCACGGCCTTGCTAACGGACGCCATTCTCCATGATGATGCCTTGAAAAATTCCATCTTTTCTATTCGGGCTACGTACTCGGCTGCGTTTTGTCGGTATGGCCATCCACTTTGCTCATGGAACAAATTGTTTCCGTATGGCTGTGTAATGAGTAATTATCGCTAACGACAGACAGATTCGTGACGGGGCTCGTCGACTCCAAGCTGAACGGTCAGCGTAAGACCATGTTCCAACGAGCTATTGATCTGGGCCTACCGGCCTCATTCGTGGAACTGCGTCACGAGGCGACGCATCGTGAACTACCTTCGCTGACAGTGCTGCGCAATGCCACGCAGCGGTCCCTTGAGTGGTTGTGGGACTACTACTGGGCCAAGACTGACCTGAGTGCTGATACGGTGCCTGTGTCGGAACCTGAGGCATTTGACGGCGCTGAAGATGACGTCGAGCCCATCAAGGCGGCTTTGAGAACTGAATTCGAGCACTTGCTGGCTGAAGAGGAGTCGTCAGAACCGCCGCGCAAGAAGAGGCGGTTCCAGCAGAATGTCTCGTTTACTTCTACGCATTTAGTCTCGATTTGCAAGTCTTCTGGTCGTGGGGCGTCTGCGCTAGCAGGCGTGATCGTGGAGGACTCATTGTTGGTTCCTGCTGGTCGGAAGTGAGTTTTCTGTATTCTGAAAGTTCTATGACCTTCATAAGCTAATTTGGCACCAGGATGGGTGACTCCATGACGGGAATGTTCGCTAAGTGGGATTCGTTATTACAGATGCTCGCCGAGGGCCATCCCCCGGCCCTGGCATCCCTGACGGAGGAGATGGTGAATGTACTGGCCTTTTCAGGCTCAAAGAACGTGAAAAGTGACCCTCAGCTCGAAGGATTATACATGTGGCTGGGCCATATACTTCAATCGCCGGAATGGGGGTCTCGGAGACGACTACTGTCTCACGCTTACCTTCTTGCCGTTTGCGAGCAGAGTTCCAATCACTGGACGGCGCTTCTTAAGGAGAGCCTACAACAGAGGACGGACGATCTGGCACCTAAGAAGGCGGCGTCCACATCAAAGAAACAGTCAAAGAAGGACGGGTCTGGCCTCAAGCGGACTGCAGATGCCGACGATCTGAAAGAGTTGAAGAAATTCGGATGGGAGACAGTAGATACGTGGGATACGCGACCGTTAGGGATAGTATAGACAGCGGATACGATTCCAATATGACCATGCTGTGCTACGCCTCGATGCTCAGCGAAAACCAACTCAATTCCACACCCAACAAGAGCCCAAGTAGTATCCACGTAGCATCTACCAGTCTCCTAAAGATTAAAGTGGAAAATGTCACGTCCGAAAGCAGCCTAGCGTCACAGCCACACGTGGCTGAGCCTCCGCGGAACGAGCCTATGAGGTAATCGCCAAAAGACCTGCTTACACAGTTAGTAAGTATGGCGCAGGTGGCATAGATTAGTTAGCTTAGCTTCTTAGCAATCAATGTTACCACCACCCCCGCATTCATTCCAAAAAGTTCAAGCACTAACACTTTCGCTGTTCCCTTATACTTATCCATGTGCCTAACCAGAGCTGTCTGGTCTTCCGTGAGGTTTCAACCCGTGAGAGCGCAAGTGCAACAAATTAGAGCCATGCATGTACAGTCGATTCCGATGTGTAAGTAGTTCCTTGAATAAATAAATAAACCCTTGAGACGTGCCCCCCCAAGGTACTTGCTTACATTACTTATTGGGATCTTATTTGCTAACTAAGTTTGTTCTTTCAGGGACCGGGAAGGGCAATAACTATGCCTACCTGGTCACAGATGAACCTACTAAGGAGTCTGTTATTATTGACCCGGCTAATCCGCCTGAGTATGTGCTTGCTTGCTGGCTTGTCAAAATGGTTGCGAAGATAGGTTGAGCTAAGAAATCACAGGGTGACTCCGGCGCTGCAATCTCAGATCGATGCAGGGAAGATTAAGCTTACGTCTATTGTTAATACTCATCAGTAAGTGTTCTTCCTTCTTTGGTCTATACCAATGCTGATTGTACCAGTCACTGGGACCACGCCGGTGGTAACAATGAAATTGTGAGCTACACACTCTACAAAGAGATCACTCGAAACTAATTGAAAAAGCTGAAAACCTTCGGTCAACTCTCCGTCATTGGCGGCAAGAACTGCCAGTCTGTCACCAAGACCCCGGCACACGGCGAAGTCTTCAAGATCGGAGAGCGCATATCCGTCAAGGCGCTGCACACGCCCTGCCACACGCAGGACAGTATATGCTACTTCATGCAGGATGGAGACGACAAGGTTGTCTTCACCGGTGATACTTTGTTTATCGGAGGTGAGTTCAGCTACTGGGTGAGCGGACTGGGTCCAAACTAATAGGATACAGGATGTGGCCGGTTTTTCGAGGGTACGGCCCCAGAAATGCACAAGGCTTTGAACGAGACTCTGGCTGCACTGCCGGATGATACTAAGGTTTACGTGAGTGTTTCGGTGTGATTCATGTTGGCACTTACTGATGCTCTGCAGCCCGGACACGAATACACCAAGGGCAACGTCAAGTTCTGCCTTGCTGTTTCGCAGTCTGAGCCCATTAAGAAGTTGGAGGCGTTTGCCAATGCCAACCAAGAAACTCAGGGCAAGTTCACGATTGGTGATGAGAAGGTTTGTTCTGCCTCTTATGTTGTTTGGCCGGGACTGACAGGCTACAGCTCCATAATGTTTTCATGCGCGTCAACGTGAGTCTCCCCAATACATTTCAACGAGAGACCCAGCTAACATGTTACAGGACCCCGAGATCCAGAAGAAGACCGGCAAGACAGACCCAGTGGAGGTTATGGCGGCGCTGAGAGAGATGAAGAACAATATGTAACTTAGCCAAATATGGACCATAGTCAAGTACACTAGCAGTATCACAAGAATGAATATGATCCACAAACCCAACCTACCCATACAAACCCCAGAAAACGTATTCAGCCATTGAGATAACAATGACATTCCTTGTATACATCCAACCCAGCACCAAAACGATCATCGTGACGTCAGATGCAGCTTCGACAAAAAAGTAGTATAGAAACCCCATCTTCACCTCAACGCCAACTACCAACCAACCAGTCCCCCAATATACCTTTGCTTCTCATATCCATATCCACAAAATGACCACCGAAACAACCGACGGCCTCCCCGGCACCGCCAAAACGACCAAAAGCCAAGTACTCGAAGCCGGCGCCAGCGCCATCCAAGACTTCACGCCCGTGAAGCACATCTGCGCACACCTGAACGCATTCCACGTCTACGCCTCCGACAAGACGCGCTACGTGGAGGCAAATCACTACTGTTCCCATATCACAGAGGGTATACCCAACCCCCATCCCGTGCCAACCATATAACCAACCACACACACAACCCAACTAATATAATATGTAGATCTACGCCAATGCCTCCTCTACGACAGCACCGCGCCCAACGCACGCCTCCTCGGCATCGAATACATGATCACACCCAAGCTCTTCGCGACATTACCCGCGGAAGAGAAGAAACTGTGGCACACGCACGTCTACGAAGTCAGCAGCGGGATGCTGATCATGCCTGCGCCCGCGAGCGTACCGAATGTCGTGTGGGATGCAGCCGAGACGGCAGAAATGAAGGATATCGTGCCGTTGTATGGAAAGACGTATCATCTGTGGCAGGTGGATCGGGGGGATGCGGTGCCGATGGGGGCGCCGGAGTTGATGGCGAGTTTTACGAGTGAGGAGAGAGTGAAGATTGCTTGTCCGGGGGGATTGGGGGAGTTGGTGAAGGAGAGGGATGAGAGGTTTGGGGTGGATTATAGGGAGAAGAGGGAGAAGAGGAAGGGGTTGGAGAGGGAGGGGGAGGGGGTGATGGTTGAGGGTGAGTTTATTCTATTCCTCTTTCCACTTTTTCAGTTGGGGGGTGTGTGTGTGCTAATTGATGGGTTGTGTAGGTGCGGATGGGATGTGGGAGGATTAGGATATTAATGTTGGGTATGTGTGATGATGAATATGAGTATGAATAGTAATTGCAATTGCATTCAACTATCAACAACTACGATAATATAAAAGATGGATGTGTCCCATCGGTACCACCCAGTTTTCCATTCCCATAACAAAATGGGGTCCAAGCCGGGCTATCGTTCAGGGAATCCCACCATTAATGATGAGATGTATATTCATCTTGCTTCACTGTCCACACTCACGCGCTCTGGTGTTTAATTTCGGCAGCGGTGAGCTCTAGCAATTTTAGAAGCGAATAGCAGAATAGCAGAAAACATAACGCAACAAGAAAACAGTAACAATAATAGCAATGGATGGGATGAGATATATCCAATTAGCTGCATTAAGCTATCAGATCATCTATCGTGGATGTAGCAATAGTCGATCAATCAACCATATCGATCAATTGAAAGTCTGTCGTTGTGTTGTGTTGTGTTGTCGCTCACGACAATTTCGTAGGAAGGGAGAAAAAATCTCCCGCACAAAACCCTTTATATACCCTCCCCCTCACCGGCTAATCACATGACCAACCAAACCTCCGAAGCTCTCCGCCGTCATACCAAGCAAACTACACCAAACTAGTCAATCCAATCCAATCAATTCAATCGCAATCGCAAAGCAATGCCCTCAATACCAACCCAATAACACAAAAAATATCAAAAACAAAAATAATCTCCAAAATGGACCGCTTCCTCCGCTACACCCTAAAACGCAGCACCCCAGGCCACATCTTCCGCTTCGGCCTCAACAGCCTGGGAGTATTCTGCGCATGCACACTAATCTGGGAACACCTGATCACGGTACAACTCAGCGAAGGACCCTCGATGTACCCGACCTTCAGTCCGCGGGGCGACTACCTTCTCATATCGCGAGTGCACAAGCACGGGCGCGGAATCCAGGTCGGGGACGTGGTGCGGTTCTATCATCCCACGTTTTTGGGGGTCAATGGAGCGAAGAGGGTTATTGGGTTGCCCGGGGATTTTGTGTGTAGGGATTTGCCGTTTAGTAGGGAGGTTGGTGGGGAGGGGGAGATGATTAGGGTATGTTTATTTTCTTTTATCCTCTTGTTGGTTAATTTGGGGGTGAGGGTAATTGGCTAATTGTTTGTGTTTGGTGTAGGTTCCTGAGGGTCATGTCTATCTTGCTGGGGATAATTTGCCGTGGTCGAGGGATTCCAGGAATTATGGACCTATACCCATGGCGCTTATTAATGGGAAGATTATCGCAAGGGTGTGGCCGTTGAATAAGTTTGAGTGGGTGAAGAATACTTTGGAGGAGGCGGATTTGTCGGGATAAATGCTGTTATATTATGTTGTCTCGGATGGATACCCTTAGGTATACGGCATGGGAGTCTGGAGTTGGTGGAATTTGTGCATATTCATACATCTTCTCTTGTACAATACAAAATCTAGAGCCAAAAAGTTGAACAGAAAAGGAATTGAGGCTGGCTGGTTTACCGGAATGTGGACGGGTTTCTTCTCTTGTAAGGAAGAGGCTCGACCCGCTTCCTCCGGAGCTCCATGTTCGCCTCGGGGAAGCCAATCTGCTTCATCACCTCGTACGTCGTCTCGTCCCATTGCGTGCGGAACAGGTGCGCGCCGATCGGCTTCAGGTGGTACCGGGCCTGCAGGGTGCGGGGCAGCATGTTCTCGCGCTCCGTCTCCTTCGCCTTGACGGCGGCAAAGTCCAATGGCTTGGAGTCCTTCTGTTCAAGGATGAACAGAGACAGTCGGTGGTAGGGACTGCCCTTCTGAGCGACAGGAGGCTCCCATGGCAGGACAACCTGCGACTCACCCGACAGCTGGGCCAGGTCGACCTTGGTGTTGGTGGCCGAGATGGGGACGTTGACAGCCAGGTAGTGCATCTTGAAATCGAAGCCATCCGTCTCAACGTTGGGAACATCCGAGTCGACCACGGCGATGGTAACGAGCTTCTCGCCGCCCTCGAAAAGTTGCACGTCGAGCTTAGGTGCTGTCGTGCTGACCTTGGCGTTGACGTATTCTCCAGGCTGCACCTGGCTGCGGTTGAAGTAGAGCTTGGTGTCGACGATGGGGTCGCAGTGAGGAAGGACGTCGGGAATCACCTTCATTTGCGTAATTCTTTGGACGAGGATCTTGCGACGGTATTCCCTCCATTTCCGATCGGCCAGGTAGCGGTAGATGGGTTTGCTGAGGTCACCTAGACGAGGTTGGTTAGGCTGCGGAGTTAAAGGCAGTTTGTAGAATGTGTTGCTCACCTTGCCCATCCTCGAACTTCTTCTTGACCAGCGGGTCGTTGACATCCGCAAGGATCTTAAGGTGTTCCAGATGGAGCTCCATGGCCCGGAGCTTGGACTTCTTGACCTGCAAGCCGCCGGCCTCCTCATTGGAAAGGGCCTGAAGCCTGGCAATCTTCTCGCTTATCGACTGGATATCGCGCACCTTCTCCTCCCGGTCCGCGATCAAAACCTTGCGGGCTTCCTGGAAACATTGGAAGGGCAGCTGCTCGAAGGGAATGTTGGATGAGGCCTGGAGGGCAGCGCGACGTCGACGAGATCCGACGGGGGCAATTCCCTGGCGTAACAACCTCCGTTCCAGCCGGGGACTCGTTACTAGGGCCGGATCAGGCGATTTGTGGAAGGGAGCGCTCTTGGCCTCAGTCTGGGCTTCCTCGCGAGCCAGAGCGGTGGACTGAAAGGCGCGGGTGGACTGCAGCTGGAGGCCTGGAAGACCCTTTGTGTAGGTCTTCTGCAGGCATTGGAGCAGGGGCTTCGAGGCCCGCTCGCAATGAGCCATGGCGAGACGAGTGACTGGGGAAGGACGGGGGGATAAAGTGGTGGAGTGGATGGAAGAGATTCCCCAGGTTGGTCGGGAAGTCGAAGTCGAGGTTCCTGGCCGGACGGAACTTTTTTCGTCGGGTTGGCCAAGCCTCAGGCGGCTAGCGCCAGACCACCCGAACTTTTGCTGCTCCTCCTCCAAAGCATCACCACCGAGATCCCTCCCCCATCCAGGCTACCTCTCGGGGTTTAATTACACACTCTCACTCACAATGCCTGGAAGTGACGCTCTTCGCGCACTCAAGTTGCTCTCTCGCAGCTCAGGGGGTCTCCTCTCGGGCGCTGAGACGACCACGGTAAGGCTGACCTTTTTTGATTCCGCTGCTAGTCTTTGCATATGGCTGAATGCAAGATACTGACCATTGATGCCTCGATCCTATAGCAACGATGCCTGACGAAGTCTTTCTCCCGCTCGATGGCCACCGAGGCCCAGTCCCCCGTTGACAACCTGACGAGGGAGGTTCCCAAGCCCGTGTGGAATCCCGAACCCGTCAAGGCTACCCTCTACTCATTCCCCTCGATGGAGCCTCTGCGCTTCGTTGAGTATCCTCGCAACCACCTCCTGATGCCGCTACGCAAAGACATCCTGCACCGAGCCGTTGTTTACGAGGGTGACATGACCCGACAAGGTACCGCAAGCACCAAGTGGAGAGATGATGTGCATGGAAGTGGTAGGAAGTTGCATGCGCAGAAGGGTACTGGCCGGGCCCGTGTTGGCGACAAGAAATCCCCGATCCGGAGAGGTGGAGGTGTTGCTTTTGGTCCTCACCCCCGCGACTTCTCTACGGAGCTCCCTCAGAAGATCTACGACCAGGCGTGGCGGATAGCCCTCAGTTACCGCTACAAGCGCGGCCAATTGATCATTGTCGACAACGAAATCGGCCTTCCGGAGGGCGCCACTCCCCATATCGTTGAGGAGATTTTCAAGGTCAACTGCTGGGGCCGGCACCATGGACGGTCAACATTGATTACGGACCAGCCGAACGAGGAGCTGTTCGAGACCGTGCGTCAAGTGGGTGAACATGCGAAGATCCTGGACCGCCGTGACGTGGATGTGAAGGACCTGTTGGAGACTGGACGCTTGATTATCGAGAAGCAAGCGCTGGACCGCATTCTGTCTCAGCATTCCAAGGATCTGAAGAACAAGCCGGCCAAGGCTTTGTACTAAATTTCTATTACCTGGCGATGGGGTCTTTTACTGGTTAGCTTCGTTTTGTGTTTTATTCTGTACAAATAGATTCGAAATATGTATGATGGCATTACGGATTTTCAAGGATGAAAGTCACGGCATTTTAGCAGAAATCTACGATAAGCTGCCCGGTAATTGGTAGAAGGAAACCGATGTAAGTTGGAGTTGGAAAGCACATGCCAGGGCGAGGTTGCCGAACAGAGATCCTTCACGACACTATAGCCAAAATTCTCTGGATAAATCAAATATAATACAGAATGATTCAAAAGTCTCTTAGTCAATAATTTAGAACCCTATATACCACTACTAAGGTTCTGGTTACTCCTGGTGGGACATCTCAACTCACGGCCGTTCGGCTGTTCTCCTCTTCAGCGGCCGGCGAGGAAAATCATTCCGCGAAAAACTCCGAGGTCAAAGCAAGCGGAGAACCGACGAGCTGCTCATCCTCATACTTAATCCCCTCATCCCTCCATTCCTTTACCCCGTCTCCTCCTCCACAACAGGCTGTGGTCTGCCTGATGTTACTCCGACGCAGTATTTGCCGGTTTCCAACACCGTCGAGCTGGATCTCGCGGGTTTCACCAGCTACCATGCCTCTCCGTGCCAAAGTCACCAACCCAGCATTCGGGGCCACTGCTAGTGTACGCCTTTCTCTTATCTCATGCTTCGCCTCTCCCATTGACTGACGAATGCAGATGTCTACCGCACCTATCCCCAAAGAACTCCCCGGAGACGAGCCCGACGATGTCCTGTTCCACTCCCACTACGGCGTGCGCTTGATTGAGCTCAACCGTCCCAAGAAGCTCAATTCCTTGAACGGCTCGATGGTTCGGAAGATTGTGCCTCGACTGAAGGTTAGCTTGTGGCTGTGACCTGGTATTATACGTGTGGACTTGTTGCTAAGCGATTGGGGTGTCTTCTAGGAATGGGAAAAGTCCGACCTGGCCAATGTCATCATGCTCTCTGGCGCTGGCTCGAAAGCTCTGTGCGCCGGAGGAGATGTGGCTGCCCTCGCTCTGCAGAACGAAAAGGGCCCCGAGGGCCAGCAGGCCTCGTCCGACTTCTTCGCCGACGAATATCGTCTCGATCACCTCATCGCGACCTACCAGAAGCCTTTCGTCTCCGTGATGGACGGTATCACCATGGGCGGCGGTGTCGGTCTCAGTGTCCACGCTCCCTTCCGGATCGCCACTGAACGCACTGTGTTCGCCATGCCCGAGACCACCATTGGCTTCTTCCCGGATGTTGGCGGCTCCTTCTTCCTGTCCCGTCTCGATGGACAGCTCGGAACATACCTGGCCCTTACCTCGGAGCGACTTCACGGCGTTCAGGCTCTGTATGCTGGTGTTGCCACGCACTACCTGCACTCCAGCGCGCTGGCTAACCTGACGGCTCGTCTGTCTGAGCTCGTCTTCCGTGACTACTCCACATTCCAGGAACGTCTCGCTCTTGTCAACAAAACCATGGCCGAATTCTCGACGGGTGTGCCGTCCGTGCGCGAGGAGCCTATCCAATTGGCTGGCAAGCTGCGCAGTGCTATTGACCGCTGCTTCCAGTACAACACGGTGGAGGAGATCATCCAGGCGTTGCAGAAGGAAACAGAGATGAAGTCGTGGGCTGAGAAGACCCTGGAGACCCTGTCGGCGCGGTCACCCACCTCGCTCAAGGTTGCCCTGCGCCAGCTGCGTGTCGGCCGCGAGTGGACCATTTCCGAGACCTTCCAGCGTGAGCACGCCATCGCCTCCAAGTTCATGAGACACCCCGACTTTGTGGAGGGCGTGAAGGCCCGCCTCATGTCGAAGCCTCCCCGCCAGGCCACCTGGCAGCCGGCGACTCTGGAGGAGGTCTCGACCGAGACCGTCGACAAATTCTTCGAGATTTCCGAGTCTGAGTCGGGGCCTGAATCCCGCCTGAGTCTCTACCACTACAAGTCCCCGTACACCCAATATCCCTACAAGTTCGGATTGCCTAGCGAAAGCAGAATCGAGGCTTTCGTGCGTCACCGTGGAAGAAAGGAGAACGTGACCCTCAACGATATTGTTGCGAACTTTGACAGCAAAGAGGGTGTGAAGGAGAAGGCCGCTGAAGTCCTGGCCAGACGGACTGTCCAGGGCGAGGATGGTCTTGAATGGGTGAACTGATTCCTTTGGCGAAAGAGAAAAGAACATCAGAATGTTAAGGAGTCCATTTGTTCCTGTTGTTGTGTTCGTTGGGTCTGTATATTGGGTTAATATTATCAACATGTATTTCATATAAAGTTAGACACGCAAGCAACGGTCCTTTTTCCACCCTAACATGGCTTGTATCCAACAGTATGATATTCGCATTTATATGCGTTCATTATATTGCCCGCAGCCCGTAAGTCCCTAAGAAGTGCATATTGAGACACTACTCTTACAAGGAGAATTGTCAAGGATTCTGGGTTTTCTGCGGTGACTTCTAAGCATTGGATCTTGATAATCGGAACGGTTGGATAATAGTATGTTCTCATGACGGAAGTATCTGCTACCCTGCCTCTTCTGCTATCTGAAAGTGGATGAAACCACCCATCCATTATGCTCCCTGGTAGTAGTAATAGTATATAAAGCCAACACAATTGGTGGAGATATGCCCAGAGTACCTCCTTACCGAAAGAGGTGAAGGCATTCAACTCAGCCCACTCGGCTCCGCACCAGCCCAAGCATCCATCCATAACCAAAGTATCCGTCGGTCTCTTCGGCCGGCAATCACGAATTAATTCCCCGTCTCACAACCAACTCCAAACCCATCCTCCAAATATGCAAACTTCGGGAATTTGAGTATCAAAAAAAGCGCTATAATGGCAGAATCACCTTTATTCCACGCTCACGCAGAGCCCCGAACATCTCACGATTCGCAAGACCCGACAGAGCCATTTCTACCCCGACCCTCGGCCCCCGGGTCCCCAGTGCCTCAGAACCCAACTCGAATTCTATTTCGGTTGTATATTTCCCACTTTCTCTCAACATGGAACTCGCGGATGTTTGAGTTTGGGGCTGTCTTGTTCCTGGCGACTATCTTCCCGGGAACATTGCGGTATGCTTCGGTTTATGCTTTGGTACGATCGCTGGCTGCGGTGGTCCTGTCCTCGTGGTTGGGATCGGTGGTGGACCGGGCGAATAGGTTGAGAGCGATTCGGCATTCCATTAGTATGTGAGAGTAGTAGATAGTATGTGTTATTATGGACTGACATTGTATAGTATGGCAGAGACTCCCTGTGGCAGCTTCCTGCGCATGCTTTACGGTTCTCCTGGCGCCGTCTACTACGGTGTTTACCTCGCTTGTGTTCGCGGGCACAGTTTTGCTGGCTTGCGTGGAGAAGCTTGCTGCCACTGCGAACTGTGTTGCTGTTGAGAGAGATTGGGTATGTTTCTGTCCTTCTGCTACGATACCTGACTAATTTGAAAGGCCATTGTTGTGTCGGATGCTTTGGATATCCCTCGACAAGGTATGTTACGACTTGTTGCGAAGTCATACTGAATACTAATTGAACAGACCTCAACGCCTCTATGAGACGGATAGATCTGTTTTGCAAACTCTCAGCTCCGGTGGTCATCTCCGTGGTTGATGGGTTGTCGACCAAGATAGCCATATGGACGGTCCTGGTTGTGAATGTTTCCTGCGTCGTCGTTGAGTACATTGCAATTGCTCAGGTACTATCCCCAGAGTTTAAAGAAGATCATATACTAATCGAACCCAGGTGTATACATCTATACCTGAACTCAAGCGTTGTCAGGATGGAACCAGTGAGATCAGAGATGAACCTGGGCTTCAGCCGCAGGATAACTACAGTACTCCGACCGCAGCTCGTCGGATAGCGCAGTATAGCAGAAGGGCTCTTGCTCCGTGGCGAGAGTATGTGGCTAGCTCTGTATTCCTGGCCTCTCTTGCCTTGAGCTTACTCTACCTCACGGTGCTCTCCTTCGGCACTACCATGGTAACATATCTGCTACATACTGGCTTCACTCCGCTGCAGGTCAGCGGAATGAGAATCGGCGCTGTCATTGCAGAGCTGTCGGGCACGTGGGCAGCGCCCTTTATCATGGGCAGGATTGGGCCCATCAGGTCAGGTCTGTGGTTCCTCAACTGGCAGTTTGCCTGTCTGGCCGCTGCAGTGGCGGCCTTTGCTTTCCTCGACAATCAGTCTCAAGTGGTTGCCGTGAGCCTGATCGTCGGCGTAGCTCTCAGTCGAATCGGACTCTGGGGCTTTGACCTTTCGGTACAATTTCTTGTTCAAGAGGTAAGTCCTGCTATTCGAACTGTGCCAAATGACCAAGCTCTTACTATCATAGGGTGTGGACGAACGGGCTCGCGCGCGGTTCTCATCCACGGAAATGGCTCTTCAAAACATCTTCGAGCTCCTGTCCTTCGCAACGACCATTGCATTCCCTCTTCCCGAACAATTCAAGTACCCAGTATTTATCAGCTACGGGGGCATTGCGCTGGCTGCTATATGTTTTGCAACGTATGTGCGGAAGGAACGGGGACATTTGCTGCATACATCCAAGTGTTTTGGGGGAGACAAGAAACGGATCGTCCCTGACCCGCAGGATGTCATCATCCGGCGCGCATAATGAGATAGAGTGCATGTAGTGTCATGATTTATGAATTAAACATGCTTTCTGACGTAGCTGTTCCTGGGAGAGTTTACCGTATGAAGACCACTCCAAATATAAGACAAGGCGGACCGCTGCGGGGAGCCGAGCATGATCTCGTTCCTGATTCCCCCCAACAATCACACCATCTCAGCTGCGCAGCTCCTCCTTCAACCATGTCTCCCCCACACCCATCATGGAGGTAATCTCGCATCCCCAAACCCTTGATACACTTAGAAAATGCACCTGCTAACCGAGCACAAGGCTCCTCGAGCTCGCGGAATGGGCCGATCAGGACCCCGACGCCGCACGGGCTGTCTGACCTGCCGGGCACGTAAAGTCCGTTGCGACGAGACCAAACCCACGTGTGCCAATTGCACGCGCCTGCGACTGCAATGCACCTACAAAAGCACCATTCAGACGGTCATCCCGCGACAACGGCATAACAGTCAAAGCTCAGGCACAGTCGCGAGCGCAGCATCGGCCCCCACCAGCACCGCCTCATCCGACCGTCCAGACGTGAACTTCTTCCACACCGTCCTCTGCAATGACCGACTCTCAGCATCGAATTCAGGATCCCCGCAGCAGGCGGGTCCCAGCAGTCGCCCTTCACAACAACACCAGCAACCCCTAGGTGCGGACAATATCACCTCATTCGATATTCTCAGTTTCATCGGCGAGATCACCTCCGACTTCCAGCAGAAACACCTCGACTTGACCACGAATGGACTGGCGGGGTTCCCAGCGGGCTCGGTTCCGGCGGCGATCGCGAGCGAGGAACTCGATCAGAATGAACGGCCGATCAGTTGGGACGCGGGCTCAGTTTCAGTCATCCATGGTGATCGTTCAGAGTTGGGGTCTGCTTCGGATACGAGCGGTGGTAGTAGTAGTAGTGGTCATGGTCGGCTAACGTATGAGGATCGGTTGTTTGCACATTTCGTGGACGGGGACCCGCCGCCTACGATATTTGGGCCGGTGGATTTGGAATGGGAGTATGTGCGTGCTAATGTTGTTGCACAGTCGCGCGATAGTCGGGCGGTCTTACATGGGATTTACTGCTATGCGGAGATACATGAGGCGTTGGTTGAGGGGAAAGCGTGGAAGCTGGCGTCGAGGTATCATCAGCTGGCGTGTTCGGAGGTTCAGTCGTGCTTGCTGGGTGAAGTAGAGGAGACGGTGCTGAAGAGGGTGTTTACTACGGTGTTATTGTTGATGCTGGCTGAGGTGAGTGTCTCGGGTTTCGCTCTGAATACTTGACTTTGGCTAAAGAGCTGACGAAACAGCTCCTTTCTACCCCTGATCTATGGGGCTCAGGAACGTCCTTTCTCCACTCCGCATATCTCCTGCTGCAGCGGTTTCACCACCGAACCAAGTTGTGGACCGGTGTGAGCAGTGTTATTGTGTCGTGGGTGTCATTACTGGATGTTAAAGCGCTGATAGCTGGCCGTGATGGCGATCCGCTGATTGATTTGGGCAGCCTTTCATCCAAGGCAAACACTACGTCTGAACTAGCCATGGAAGACAAATTGTTCGACAACAGCAGCGACGAGGAGCCACCGAAACCCGCATACCTTATGCGTGAAGCCATCACGGGCCCGGCCTTTCGCTTCTTCCTACAAACGCAACAGGTCATCCGACGAATCGTGTGCATCGACTTGCATCACCGCAGTCGCGGGACTGTCAGTGACGAGTTTGAGGTGCTTCAGATAGCACACCAGGTCGGGGCCGATCTCGAGACGCTCTGGAATCGGCGTCCACGCGTGCTGGACGTCTACAGTACGCCCGAGGACCTCTTCGATACTCTACAGCCTGCTATCGCGATCGAAATTTGCCGGACGTTCCGACAGTACATCGCCAACTTCCTAGCGATTTTTATCTACCTACACCGGGTCGCGTTCGCCATCTACCCTCGGACTGACCGAGTGCACCGCGCAGTGGATCGGATTATTCAGTTGGCAACGGCGGAGGTGGAGTCTGGGAGCGACCAGCAACATCTGCCCGCCAGCTTTGTATGGCCGTTATTTGTGGCCGGTCTTGAGGGATCGATGGAGCAGCGAAGATGGATTGTGAAAGAGATGCAGCGGATCACTGGCAGCTGTAGTAGTCGCTGTCAGGATCCCGAGCGCATCCGTGGAAGCTCCCGTACGGCGCGACATCCGCATGCGGGGAAAGCATTGCTCCTGCTGGAGGAGATGACGCGACGACAAGATGCGTCGCGCACCTGGGCGGACTCGCGGTGCGTGCGGCGGGAGCTATTTACTGATTTCTTCGTCATGATCTAGAAGACAGTAAGTAGCCGTAGGAGAGACCAAGTGGACATCGGGAGGTTTGCAGGAGACTCCGGAGTGGATGAACATCAACTCGAAACGCGTCGCAGATCTCCTGACCACGTAATCGCACGTCATCTGACTCCCCGCCAGTCTCCATCGGCCTGTATTTACTTCCTTACTTTTCATCTTCACTTCCCCTCTTCTCCTTTTCGTCTGCTGTCCTACATCGCTCCCCATTGTGGCTGTCGCATTCTCTCCCTCGCGACATGGCCCACAATGAGGCCCTACTCCGAACTCCCCCAGGATGCTGATCTCCAAGATCCCAGCCATCATGATCCACCGCCGTCCGGCAACCAGAGCGCCTTTCGCCTTTACTGGCTCACGGCAATCGTCTGCTGCGGCGGCCTTCTCTTCGGCTATGACTCGGGTGTGATTGGTATGTAGTCTCCTGAAGACTCACCGCACACCATGCTCATCATTCAATTCCAGGCGGAGTTCTCACCTTCGAATCCTTCCATCGCTCCTTTCGGTATACCGCCGCCGATGAGACACGAGTTAGCGCTATTGCAGTCGGCGTCCAGCAAGCCTCTGCGCTACTTGGCTGTCTGCTTATATGGCCTTTCACCAACCGTCTTGGCCGTCGCCCGGCCATGGCTGTCTGCTCCCTCATCTTCTGCACGGGGGTCATCTTCGAGCTGCTCGATACCCACTCGCTATCCGTCTTCTACGTGGGCCGCGTCATCTGCGGACTGGGGATCGGCGGCTCCGCAACCGTCATCCCCATCTATCTCTCGGAAATGAGTCCCACCGACAAGCGCGCCCGGCTCGGAAGCTGCTATCAGTTCGCCTTTACCATCGGCATCCTCGTCTCCTACTGGATCGACTATGGCATGCAATTCGCTCCCGCCAATGCCTTGCAATGGCAGATTCCATTCGCCGTGCAGCTGATCCCCGGCGCATTAATGGGGTTGGGGATGCTCACGCTCCGCGAAAGTGTGCGATGGCTCCTCTCCCACGACCACGACAAGAACGAGTCCAAAGCATGGGACAGCCTAACCTGGATCCGCTCATCGAACGGACCACACGTGCGCGCCGAGTACCAGCAAATGAAATCCAGCATCGAGCGTGACGCACACGCAACCGCTGATTTCTCTCCGAAAGAACTCCTCAGCAAATCCAACAGCCACCGACTCGCTCTAGCCGTCTGCCTATTCATAGCTCAACAATCCATGGGGCCAACGGCGCTCGCCTACTTCGGTCCGCAATTCTTCGCCCTCCTAGTAGGCAACAACGCCCACCTGACCCTCCTCCTAACCGGCATCTTCGGCGGCCTAAAAGTGATCGGCTGCCTCATCTTCATCGTATGGGTCGCCGACCGATTCGGCCGCCGACCACTACTCATCCTCGGCGCACTAGCCATGTCCATCTGCATGATAACCACCTCAATGGTCGTAAAATCCACCAACGTCCCCACCCCCACTCCATCCACAAACAACTTCTCCAACACCCCCACCATGACCAACAGCGGTCTCCTCACCGTCTCCCTCATCTACCTCGCCATCGTCTTCTACAACCTCTCCTGGGGGCCCCTCCCCTGGCCCTGCACCGCCGAACTCTTCAACACCCGCATCCGCGAACCAGGCGTCGCCATCGGCGTCGCCGCCCAATGGCTCTCCAACTTCGTCTGGTCATTCTCGACCCCGTACGTCCTAGCCGGCGCCAAATGGGCCACCTTTTTGATTTTCGGCATCTTAGACGCCAGCTTCGCCGTCTTCGTCTGGTTCTTCCTACCGGAGACGCGCGGGAGATCTCTTGAAGAGATCGATGCGCTTTTCGGAGATGAGGTGGATAAGCTTCATCAAGATGATTCGCTCTCGTCTGCCCTGCTGGTCGGGGAACAGGAACAGGAACAGGAAATTGACCGTGACTATGAACAGGATGGGATTGTTTCTGATGATGATGCGGGGGCGAAGACGAGTGAGGAGAGAGTGGAGGTTTAGTTTTCCATTACTATATATATTCATGTGAGGGTTATTCAGTTATAGAGTTAGATGGTAAAATATGAGTTGATTCTTTTTTATAATGTGTTGCAACATAGGAGATGAATTCGCTGCGACTAGAGTATTTTATTAGCAGAATATCATGATATTATGATTGATAACTGAACGTGACTGAATACTGCCTGTAGATTGATCTAGACTACTCCGATGGTTAAGTATGCATGAAACTAGTCTAATGCGGAAACTAGTCCCAAGTGGAGATAGAACCATCGATCTACTGTACATGGTCTGCCAGTCATGTGAGAGACCATTTATATACTACTACTACGGAGTACTATCCATACTGTATGTCTATACAGTGTTTAGTAACTAGAGAATCTCAAAGTAAGCTAAATATTGATTATCATTAGCTACCGAGAACCCACACAGCAACTAGCGTACACTCGTATCATCGTAGCAATTCGTGTTCCTTTGCCCAACCAGTTCCCCCCCCCAAAAAAAGAAAAACGCCCCCTCCGGCAAGTTGGTTTCGAAACCATACAGCAAACCTACCTAACTATAAAATCGCCACAGTCGCCAGCTACCTGAGCGAGAATAACAAGAATATTACCTAAAACAGTAACCACAAAGTCCCGCCCAATCCACGTGCTTTTTTGTTGGGGGAGTTAGCAAGAAGAAAACGCCGTCATGCAGTCGCCAGTCATGTCAGCCATCGAGGGCTCATGATAAAACACAGAATAAGACGACACCAGCCGCCATTGAGCCCTGAGATGGTGTTGAAAAATGTATAGAGAATGATGGATATAGAAGATGGTTCTAGACATCGAGCAAATCCTCGAAGCCGTCATTGTTGGGAGTCGAGAAGGAGAAGGACGCGTCACTCGCGAGGGTCTGCTCTGAGTCTCGGCGAGGAGTGGGTTCTAGGGAGCCCATCTTTGAGGGAATCTGAATGGGGCTATCAAAGCCAAAGGAGAGGTCCTGCGAGCGGGTCGTCCTACTCGAGCTCGACGGGGTCAGAGCATTCAGGTCCGTTTTCAAATCGGACGCCCCGAGTGAGTCCTGCTGGGTAATGTTCTTCACCATGGTGCTGAGGTGCAATTGAATAGCCTCATCATTGCACTGGGCATGCTCGAGTAAGTAGTTTTTGAACATGAGGATCTCGCTACGTAGGGCGTCAATCTGACGGGTCAGGTGTTCCTTCCTGTCGGAGAGACGCTTGAATAGCTCGCGGAGATCCTCCGTCTGCCTCTTCTTCTTCTGGCGACACTTGCTCGCTGCCAGCCGATTGCGCTCCAGGAATTTCTCACGCTTCGCTTTCTCGCTCAGCTTGTCATCGGCATCGGGGGAAGACGAGTTGTGTGTGCCATTAGTCTTGCGACGCCTGGGCGCTGGTTGACGCGCGTCCGAAGCAGCCGGTTGACTGAAGCTTGCACGGGGAGTTGGGTTGGAATATACAGCAGCCCCGTCGTACGACTGGAGATGAGACAAGGAATAGAATTGGTCGACCGAATTGAGTCTCTTGTCGTCATATGGAGGGGGCGTGGGTTGACCGTTGCGGACATGCGAGTTCTTCAGGCCTCGCTCAAGACCCGGATTGGTGAAAACCTGCGGGTCATGTTTCGCCGACCAGCTCGGTAGCGAAGGAGAAACTGGGCTGAAACCGAAGAGAGTCTGATCGTCTCCGGCTGGGTAAGACATGGAGGAAAGGATGTCGGTCGCCATGTAGGAATTGGAGATGGTGAAGTGAGACGGAGCCGCGCTAACGGCACCAGGCATAACAGCTTCGTTGGACACGACGGCCTCGCCAGGAACAACAGGCTGGCCGAAAGAGGCCTGAGTCGCCATGTTGAAAGTGAGCCTGATCTAGACTAACCAGGAGGGCAGGGCAGAGCCGCCTGAGCAGATTGTAGAGAAGATCGAAATTGATATTAGGAGGAGAGGGAGAGACAGAGAGAACTAGCTATTGAAAGGTAGAGGAGTATGGTTGTGGCGACGGACGGGCAGGCGAATAGAAGGTATTTAAAGCTCCGGCCGCGATGCGAGAGAAGACCGGAAGCACAAGGCCGAAAGTCAGTGAGCAGAGCGGCTTGAAGGCACAGTCTGGCACCTGGAACAGAGGTCCTGGGATCTTGTCGAGCCCAGGAGCAAACCAGTGTGACCGAGGGGAAGATGACCACGGCAGGTACGAGTGATGGTAGGCAGCTACCACGGTTGCGAAGGCGGGAGAGAAAGCAACAAAGGATGAACAATGCACTAACAAGTCAAGAACAAGCGGGAAGGTAAAATGCTGGAGAGCTCCAACCGGTTCAGAAGGAAGGTTGGCCAGGAGAATATATCCCGACAGGATCAAAGTGGGGGTGTGAGTTGTTGGAGAGAGAAAGAGAGAGAGAGAGAGAGAGAGAGAGAGAGAGAGAGAGAGTGTGTGTGTGTATGAGTGTGTTGTGTGTCCAGAACGGGGGCTGGCAGTAGGGGTCCTTCTGGAGCCAGCAGCGGAACCTGGACCAGGAAAATCAGGGAACCGGGCGAGACCAGAGTGGAGCTGGAAGAGAGCTTCGTCAGGCAATGAATCTGCAGGAGATCCAGAATCAGAAATGGGGGGTGTCAAGGGCAGAGGAGGGGTTAAGGTGGGAATGTAACGGAGAGGTCCACGGAACGGAAGAGCCGGCAGAGTTAAAAGAGAGGGTGAGTGAGAGGAAGTGAGGGAGAGGGACAGAGAGGAAGAGTGAGAGGGAAAAGGAAAGAGAGAGGGAGAGAGGGAGAGAGGGAGAGAGTACCACGGAAAGAAAGAGAAGGAGGGGAAATCCGGATCAAAGTCAATGTGGGAGAGTGATACGAGGGGAGGACAGGCTAGGGTTGGGAGACAAGAAAGAAGATGAAACGAGTTGAGGAGATGACCAGCAGAGGAAGGATGAGGATTGGATGGAAGAGAAGAGAGAGACGAGGACTTTCTTACTCACCAACAGGAATCTCCCAAGTGGTTGCGCAAGTGGCAGGGAATTGGGATGTTGTGTGGATGATGAGGTCGGGGAGGATAGAGTAGAGAAGACAAGAAGTAGTAGTTGTTGGTGTTGTTTGTACCTTGTAGTAGTTGATGGTGGTAGAAGGAACCAACAACACACAAACCTTTGGATGGCAAGTCAAGTGAGCCGTGAGCAATAAACAGTGATGTATTGAGAGGGGAGGGAAAACAGATGACAGATGAAGCTTCACCTCCCCGAAGCAGCTGGGAGAGAGTTATGATTATTATGGCTTGATGATTGGGTCAGTCGCAGTTCCGGCGTCGGGAAGCCAAGAGAGGGCATCCACTGGACGAACTAGACCTGGCCAGAACCGGCAAGGTTGACATCATTATTGGGACAAGAGATCTGGAGACTTCTCCGGTCTCCACGATGAGGGAGAGAGAGCATGCGAGAAAGAACGAGAAAATAAGGAAGGAAAAAGCTGCGACGATCAGGGGCAGGTCAAGATCCCTCATTCAGCCGGAGCTGCACGATTACGCACTTGGTGGGCATGACAGAGGCCAGCCATGCCAGCTGGACTTGCAAATGTACTTTGCATCTAGAATCAATGCTAGTAATACTATCTAGTGCCTGTCGAGTAAGTAGGGTTCCCTTCAAGAGCTCTAGTACTAGTTTACTAGAATGTTTTCAACTAAAGGGAAACTAGTGGCACAGCTACCTTAGTCTCTTTCTATACCCCAGATAAACTTGGAACACCATCAAGATAGCCATCCCAAGTATGTACTTCAAACCCAGATAAGAACAAACAAACAACCAACAACTACCAGACCAGCCCACATCATCTGTGCTTCTCCGCCGACAGTTTTCCGAACCCGAAAACCTTAAAAGAAGGAAAAGGACGAAAGGGTGTTGACCTTGTCTGATATCATCATCGTCCTCAAACGTCATCCATTCAAGGCATGAGAGGGCAAAACAACCCACTCACCTAACCCTGGACCTTAAGAGACGAACGGGGGTTCCGTCTTCCCCGTCCGGTTCCACCAGCAAATGATTTCCTACACAGCCCAGGGGGAAAACTACTACTCATAATTGAAATGGACGGGAACTCACCCACTGAAGTAAAAATTATATTATTTCTCAATGAGTCATTCACTTACTTTCGGACTTGATTCTATTTCCCTCATCCATGACAGTCTCGACAAGAGGGAAAGAAAAGAAAAAAAGAAAACCGAGGGTGGATTGTCCGGTTTCAGGGAAAGCCAAGTAGTGCCGTTTCTCATGCTGATTGGCGGTTTGAAGTTCCCGACGGGCGGGCGTAGTTGGCATTTCTCTTCCCCCATCAAACTTTGTTGGCGGATTCCCCAAATGCAGCAAGTAGTGGTTAAATACTAACAAGTAGCATGGAATATAAAGAATTGGTCTCGATTTCCGGTTTCTCTCCCGGTTCCTTGATCGCGGAGAGAGAGAGAGCCACTTTTCCACATACCATGCTTAATAGTTGATATATCTATATGCTAGTGGAAGGGGGGGAGTACATACAGAGCAGCAGCAGCAGCAGCAGCAGTAGTACTATGTAGACAAGTAGTTCAAGTTGGAAAGGATCCACATGAGCTGTTTCTCCCCGGGTAAGTTGTGAACTAATTGTCTACTTAGTACTGACAGTACCTACTTCCCTGCCAGCTGGCATGATTCAAGTCAAGTCCCATGAAAATCAATTTACTCATTTCATCAGCCTGCATCAGATAAATTATCCTAAATAATTATTATTATGTACCCTTTTCCCTCTCGACCTACGGATCCCCCCTTCCAGGGCTAGCCAGAACTATTCAACCCAACGGCCCTCTCAACAATAAAGATTATCAAATCAATCAAATGACAAGATGCCAAGTTGTTAATTCAACAACTAAACAATAATTTAATAAAATAAAATTCTGGAATCACAACCACTAATCCACTCAAGAAGAATTGATTTTGGTATGACGCGTAACCAACTCCCGAATCATGATATATTCCTTGAAAATACACCGCATACATGCATTGCACACAATTAACCGAGATACAAACATACATACATACATACATGCTTATCTACGGAGTAAGTAGTAGTAGTAGTAGTACTTTGATGATCAAGTCACAAATAAAGTACTTCCTCCGTTAAGTACTTCAGTCTAAGTAACTTAGTAAGTATGTCCCCACGGCCCGGCTTTTCCCTCCAACGAACCACGATCCACCGACCGACGAGCTTCAGCTATTAGTTCTAACCAACCAGCCTTCATAGCTCATACAAATGTAGATAGTATTATCCCAACCACCTCACTCCACATCATCTACCACTACACAGTAATACTCAGTTCCAAATCAGATCCAAGAAAACCACCAAATGATCAACCATCCATCACCACCCTAACTACTAAGTAAGTTCAATTGTAATATAATACACTTCCCGCTTTTCTCCTCAACATCCATCCCCCATCCTATCAATCAATTATGTATTGCGCGTTCAATTCTCATCCGCCCTCTCTCTCTCAACCCCGGAATGGACAACTCGAACCACTGGTTCTAGATTCAGCAATTGACGACCTTTTCCGCCTTCCCTATTAATTCTGATTCAATCATTCATCCGTTCATTTTATCCATCCCGTTCCAGTCTTTCACTTCTCTATGACTGAGTGAGTGATTTAGTTAATGACTATCTTCTGGTACGGATCATGTCGCCGGCTTGTAGACCCGCTCGACCGCTTCGCTTTCTATGTTCCAAGGAATTAATTAGTTCTGGATACATTCTTGGTTGGGTTGGGCTATGCTAGGCTTACTTTACCTACTGTGTACCTACTAAGTAGACTAGGCTAACAGTAGAGGAAGACCTATCTGCCTAGTGTTTTCCTGTTTCATGTTCTGGTTCAGGTCAGGGTCGGGGGATATTTGCTTTCATCTTTCTTTGCTGCTGCTGATATCCTGTTTGCCCCACTTTCTTTTTTGGGGCGTGAGATATAGAGATACGAATCAAGTACAAGGATATACCTATCCCTACTGCTTTTACTCTGAAATTTTGGATGTGTAGTATACTCATTATTACTACTACTCCGTACTAAGTACTGCACCCTCGATGCATTCGGTAAAAGGTCCTCTGACGGCCACGACATCCAGTCCCCGCCAATCATCCCCCATTCGGAGGCTTATGCACTGCGACCAGGGATCCTTTCAGGTTCCTGCCGCCCCGTCTAAACGGTCGCCATGCTGCTTCATGATTGCTCCAATCCTCCCGTCGGGGCCCAGCAATCACGTCTCAATTCTTGCTATCGCCGACCCTACATGGGCTCCGCTCTCTCCACACTTCCTGCTCCCAGAACCGGATGCTGCCTCGGGCTCCGCTGGGCCTGTGCTCCATTGCCCCCGTCGTACTATCTATCATCCACCTCCTTTCCTGCTTTCCTTCCCCCCCCTCCCCCCTCTTCTCTTCTTCTCTCTTCCTTGCTATTCCCGATTCCTCCTTCAAACTCTACACAAAGTACTCTCGCATACACCAGGATACACCACCATGCTGGTTCATCTTGGCCTCATCCTCACACCTCCGCCGACCCGCTAAACGTTCGCGAGAATCCATGGTGATGCGCTATGGCCCCCCGATGCTCCCAGATCCGCAATTGTCGACTCACCCCTCGCCAATTCCCGATCAGCATCGCTGCAACCCGCTGGCTTTCAATCTCGCGCTGAATGGTCCGGAATGCATCCTCAGGATTCTCCTCCCCCTCGCCTTCCGTCAGTAGTGGCGCCAGCACTCCACTCAGTCGGTCTAGGTTCAGCAGCCCCGACCCAATACTGGCCCGGCAGACGCTGCCCCGAAAGCCCTGGCGTTCCAGCTCTATCAGCCGCTGCGTCTCATGCAGCAAGAGCGCGCTGAGTCCAAACACCCCAGAGATCAGGTTCAGCTGCATCGAGTCGCTGAGCGCCAGAATCGCCAGACTCATCGCCTTGACCTTGACGTAACCCCGAGGTGAAATCCCCCCGAGGCAGCTTCTTCGCCGCTCCACTGGCTCGCTCGTAAGGTGGCCCTGACAAATCTGGACCAGCACTCGATAAAGCCGGCCCGACCCTAGAATCCCCCCTGGGAGCCCGGACAGAAGAGCCTTGAACGCCCATGCCACGCTCAACACTTGAATGGCGTCGCCACTATCCCCATCCCGGCTCAGAGGGTCCACCACATCCGCCGGTATCGTGCCACTCGCAACCGTCATTTGGATCTTGTCTTGCTGCTTTTCCACCGAGTGCACCTGATTGGCGTAGTAGTCGTACGTCCGTGCCGCTAGTTTCGGATCCCCGGCGTCGACAAAGACGTTTCGTACAATAGGAGCTGTAAATGACGTCAATAAACCAATAGCCTGCGACGGATAGAGTATCCTAGTGGAGCATGGTGGATTCCTACCAAAGCATCCCAGATAGGTGATAATCGCCACAAAGCATACGGGTAGCTTCAATTTCGTAGGCGCAAAGTCGGCCGGAAGAGTGAGCAGATTGTAGCCCCCCAGTCGAGCCAGGTCTTCCAGGGGTTTGCCCTTCAATGAAGTCATATCGGCCGATCGGCGCGAAAGGCTGGCGAACGTCCTCATCCGACGCAAGGTTCTTTTGCGGGGTGCGTCTGACGATCCAAGCTGGAGGGTCGACCGCATGGTTCGTATGCGTCCATAGAACTTATCCCGACGTCTGGGAGGATCATCACCGGTGGCTGTATGGGATAGACGACTATCAGGAGATCGTTCAGCTACTATGTCGTCAGAAACTGGGATGTCTGGTATATCACCTGTCGATCTCTGGCTCTGGGGCACACAAACCTGACACCTGACCCCATTCAGCACCCCCGTGAGCACCTTGCGTGTCGTCGACCTCCAGCGGCTCAAGACGCAATCTACCGGCCAGCTCATTGAACGCTATAACAGCCGCGTGGCGATCCCCTTGTTCCAATGCGTAACTGTCGTCAAGCGAGGCGGCAAAGTCCGAACTCTGCCTGGATGAGCCCCGTGACCTGTAGGAGCGGGTCTGCCTGAAGGGATTCCCTGGCTTTTCTGTAGTCCGATTGCGGCATGTCGACAAGACACTCGCACTACTGCGCTCTGAACTATATTGTCTGCTGGAGTACGAAGTAGCCCCCTTCAGATCTTCGAAATTGACATTGGACTGTGTTGTAGAATGAGACGCTTCTTGGATATCACTATAGGGATCATGGTAAAGACAATCCTGATCAACCAAGGCAATAGGCATGGATTTGTGCTTCGACGGATCATGGCAGACAGTCACACTAGTTAGATCCGAGCTGAGCGAGTACACCGTCTTGTCACTGACCTTTCTATCGGCATCTCCATTCAAAAGGTCGCTGGACTGAGTGACCTGAAGCCCGACGGACTGCCGATTCTCTTCATGGCCAGTAGCCGTAGAATGATTCTCATTACATCCCTCTTCCACCACTATCATGGGCTTTGCAGACAGACCAGACGACCCTGATTCGAGTCGAAGATGCTGCGACTTGCGTGAGCGAAACAGCGTCTTGAACCCATTCAGTTTGGAACCTTTGTCTCCTGAGCTTATCTCCAAGGCGTGTCTCTTTGGGGCTGCCACATCCTTTGGCAATAAAATTGTATTCCTCCTACTATCGTGGTGCTTTGCTATGTCTCTTGACCCGAGAGAGGCAGCTAGCCCGGCGTTCACCGACGAAAAGGGCACAGAAAGTGATAGCCTTTGGTCCATGGATCGTTTCAAGCTGTCTCTGGTACTTTCCAAGGTATCCATTGCTGCACTAGACGCTGCGCAAGTGGTTAGGTATGCTAGAGACGGAAGATGCAACAATCGTTATAGAGGGGAGTGCTCGGTGTGGCATGGCCTGGGAGTATGTTATGTCAATGTCAGGATCGTTCTTTCCTCTTTTGTCCAGTGATACTAAGAACTGGGGAGGAAGGCTTCATTCACCAGGCAGACTTAGCGAATGGCCGGATTGACCGGGCTGTCCGGAACATGAGTCCATACACGTGAATGTAATTCACGCAGCTTGAACAGGGAATATACAACGCTAAAGATTGAGAAACAAAGCTTTGCCGTTCAATAACAAAAGTCCATGGTTGCTTGCTATTACAACTGCAACCGCCACGCTCACAAGTAACAATCAACTTCTCACGCTGAGCTGGCTATTTCTACAACTGAAGTTCAATGACAATGTCTAGATGTATTGTGTACACGAGTGCCTTTGTAACCGGGATATAGACCGTTGCGCCATAAAGTACCGTCTACTTTTGCATTTCAAACAAGACGGACAAAAGCCCAAGTGCTCAAATACCAAGAAGCAATATAAGGGGGTAGAACCGTATAATCAAGTCAATAACGTGCAAGTGGGCTACCGTTGCCAACCAAGGAGGCCCGGGAACCGACACTAGCACGCAAAAACGCCTTTCCATGCAAGTTGTAAGTATGCGTAGCAGCGCGACAAGGCGCAAATACATTGTTCATGATGACTCGTCATTTTCACCCTCCAAAAGGATGTACTGGAGAATATCACTCAAGGTCAGGACACCCTTTAGCCGGAAGTTGTCGTCCACCACAACCAGGCGGTGTACACGGGATTTGCGAATCGTGTCGAAAATGGTATCCAGACCATCGTTCAGGGAGCATGTATAGATACCGGGGAAGTCCTGGAGTAATGAGTCAAATGTACTAGGAAACTCTTGTGTGATAGATCCAACATACCGGAGATCGCTTCTTTAATGCCTCGCCCACCGTTAGACTCAAATCATCATAGACACCTCCTTTGATCAGCGTTATCACGTCGACAGCCTCGAAGACGTTGTACACAACACCTGCGAAAATAACGAGATCAGTACACATACATGCGCGCTCCAACGTAGTATCGCTTACCTTCAGTATTGATGATGGGGACACTTGATATGCTCCGTGAGACGAGAATGTGAATCACGTCAATGACAGGTGTATCCATCGATGCGACTGCTATATTGTGATACGAGCCCAGCAAGATCTCACCAAGGGGTTTCCGTAACTTCTGCGTGTCGTTGACGTTGACGGCGACAAACTTCAGGATGCGG